AGGACTCTACTCTGTCCTAAAGGGCTTGTGGAACCACACAAGTGAGTCAGTCAGTGAGCATTTATTGAGTGCCTGCTGTGTGCCCTTGGCTGTGTGCAGCAATTTCAGGGGGTGTGGACCAGGGTGGGTCCCAGTGGCCAGAGCCATGTGCCAGGCTGACCTGAGTCACCCTGCGTCTGGGTGGAAAAGGAGACTTGCTCTGTGCCACGGCTGGAAAGTTTAACCAGTCACCGAGAAGCAGAGCCAGCCTGGCTGAGGTCAGGTTGCCACTGGCCGCTTTCTGCTCCCTGGCACTGTCCTGGCACAAATGGTCCATCCCGTGCGTCACTCGGGGCTGAGGATGAATCACGGCCCTTCTCTCTCACCAGCTGTGCCCGCCCCTGGAGCGTCTTCATTCGGGAAACACAGACCCATTTTAATACTAATTTAAACACCCGTTTCTGGGAAAACCACTGATGTCAAGAAAAGCCAAGTGTCCCAAATCAGGAAAAATGAACCTAAAACTCCTCGCAGGTCCCCCGACAGGACAGGGCTCGTCTGCAGAGCGAGCTCTCCAATAGTTCCGTCTGCTATTTCCTGAGCGCTTGCTCTGCACCAGGCCTTGGCCCGGCACGTCTTGTCCTCGCTCTCCCTTCATCCTCACGTGAGCCCTGAAAGGCAGGGTTGACACCTCCCATTTCCAGGTGAGGGGACTGAGATTGAGTAACTTGCCTCATGCCCCACAGCTGGGCAGTAGCAGGTGGCCACTCCCAGACCTGGCCTTGACCACTGGACTCTACTGCATCCTGTATCTACTGTACCCAAACCTCAGTAGCTCTCCACTGCCTTCCAGGGTAAGCCTGAATTTCTGGCATTCTCTCAGGCATTCCCGTCTGATCTTCAGCCGGTGGTTTTCAAATATGTCCATGAAGCCAGGCCGGCATGGCTAAGTGGTTAAGCGTTGACCTATGAACCAGGAGGTCACAGTTCGTTTCCCGGTCAGGGCACATGCCCGGGTTGTGGACTCAATCCCTAGTGTGGGGCGTGCAGGAGGCAGCTGATCAGTGATACTCTCTCATCATTGATGTTTCTGTCTCTCTTGCCCTCTCCCTTTCTCTCTGAAATCCGTAAAAATATATTAAAAAAATAAAATATGTCCACGAACATTGTTAATGCTACGTGAGATCATACCATGTAATCTTACTTATATGTGGAATCTGATGAACAAAATAAACTGATGAATAAAATAGAACCAGAGGCATGGATACATGGAGCAGACTGACAGGTGTTGGTGGGGGGAGGGGGGGCGGGAGGGGGAAGGGGACGGGCAGGGAGGGGACTGCATGATAAAAGGTTGAAGGGATTAGCTGACATCCTTATTGGAACCACCTGAGAAACCCTGAGCTGGAACCACACAACTAAGCCACTTCGGAAGTCCTGACCCACAGAAGTTGTTTTGAGTCCCTAAGTTTTGGAGTAATTCGTTGCACAGCAATAGGGAACTAATGCACTTGGCCTCTCAGCCAGAAGTGCTTTATGCCCCTGGGCCACTGGTCATCTGTAAAATAACCCTGGGCACTTTGTCTCGTAAGTAAGATCAAGTACCCCGGAAATTGGGCCCTTGCCTGGTATTTCCAGCGTCCAGTCCATGCTTTGCTGTTAGGTTAACTGATGAACCAATACAAGGGCATTGTCTAAGAACCCACCTGAAGTATTGTTTGACTGCCAGTTGGCACGGATGACAGAGTGAGCAGAATTTGGGGGTGATTCAGGAGAGCCCCGTAGTCTATAACACACCAAGCCAAGGTTAGACCTGGACACGAGTTGGCCTGAATCCAGGGACTTCCTTTGGGCACAAAAGGCTGTCCTTGTGTCCCTGAACACACCCTGTCATGAAAGTGGCGGAAGGGCCTATAGCAGGAGGTGGGGGCAGCAAAAAGGAAAAATTTATCCTTAACCTGTACTTCATTTCGGCATGTATCCTTCAAGATCTATTTCTCTGGATGACTCGTGTATATTTACATGCAGATATATCTATATCTATTATCCACGTATCTATGTATCCATGAATCTATCTATCTCTATCTATCCATCCATCCAAATAGGTTTTTTTTAACATTTAATTTTAAAAATTGGGATCATGCTCTAGTCCAGTGATGGCGAACCTTTTGAGCTTGGCGTGTCAGCATTTTGAAAAACCCTAACTTGTCTACGGCCATACCACCCTGAACGCGCCCGATCTCGTCTGAAAAACCCTAACTTAACTCTGGTGCCGTGTCACATATACAAATTTTTTGATATTTGCAACCATAGTAAAACAAAGACTTATATTTTTGATATTTATTTTATATATTTAAATGCCATTTAACAAAGAAAAATCAACCAAAAAAATGAGTTCGCGTGTCACCTCTGACACGCGTGTCATAGGTTCGCCATCACTGCTCTGGACTATTTTTTTCACTTAACCACGCGCTATAAATATTTGTGCTAACAGACTCGGCGCTGATCTCCTCTAATAGTATTTGAGTGTATGAGCTTAAGGCCATGCAGGTTTATCCTTTCCTTCACCGGTGGATATTCTGGCTGTTTGTGCTTTCTTGCCTGTGAACAATGCTGTGACAGATATTCTTGTCTACACATCCTTGTGTAGTTGCTCAGATATTGCTGTCGAGTACATTCCTAGCGGGGGTTTATTGGACCAAAATGTGCGAACATTCTAAAGGCTTTGGGCACACAGTGCCCGATCGCCCTTCAGAAAGGTGGTGCCAGGTGCACATGTACCTGTTGCCCCTGTGTCCTAGCTCCACATCCTGGCCAGCGCTGGGTTTTCTCTTTAATGTTGGCCAATCTGATAGAAGAAAGATGTTATCTTATCTTAATTTCTTTCACAACCAGGAAGGTTGGGCATGTTCCTTGTGTTTATTGGTCATTTTATCTTTCTTCTTGAGCAAATTGTTCATGTCCTTTGCACATTTTTTTGTTTGTTTGTTTCTCTTACAAAACCAGTCCTTTATTCCTTTTTATGGCTAAGTACGAATCCACTGTATGGATCTGCTGTAATTGTATAATCATGAGTTGGTGGACGTTTGGGTTGTTTCCACTTGTTGGATATTATGAATATTGCTGCTGGGAACATTGGTGTACAAGTTTCGTGTAGACATATGTTTTTATTTTTCTTGGGGGTATATGCCCAGGCGTGGAGTTGCTAGGTCAAATGGTGAGTCTTTGCTTAACTTTTTGAGGAACCGCCAAACTGTTTTCCACAGTGGCTGTACCATTTTATATCCCCACCAACAGTATACGAGGGTTCTAATTTCCCTTCATTCTTGCCGATACTTGTTATTGTCTTTTTGGGTATAGCCATTCCAGTGGGTGTGAAGTGGTCTCTCATTGTGGTTTTGTTTCGTATTTCCCAATGATGAATGATGTTGAGCATCTCTGCATGTTCTTGTTGTCTACTTGTATCACTTCCTTGGAGAAATATATTCTAGATACAAATCTCTTATCAGACATATGATTTGCAAATATTTTCTCCTGTTCTGTGGATAGTCCATTGAAGCACACACATTCTTAATTTTGGTGAAGTCTAACTTCACCAAAGTACATGCACACGTGGGGTTTCCAGACCCTGCAACCTGAACTGCTGGTGGGTCAGAGACACTCTGCCTCCTCAGGTCAGCTTCGGCCTGGGAGAGGCCAGCTGGAGCCTGCCGCAGGGCTGGGTCTCCCCGGTGACTTCACAAGGGTCCCTCCCATGGCGGTTCTCTCCTGAGGACTCAGGGCAGCTGGGCTCCAGGTGGCTCTGGCCGTTGGTGCCTGCAGAGGAAGGAGAGCGTTTGGATGCTCTAGCTCTGCACGGAGAAGTGACAAGGGCACTTCTCACCTCTGCTTTCTGTTCTTCCCTATCTCTCTGGGCGCTCATGAGCTCATGGCTGGCCAGGGCCCAGAGGTGGGCAGTGGTGTTCAGACAAGAAAGTGGGGCTGTTTCCACAGAGTGGGAAGTGGGGAAAACCCATGTTATTTTGTTAGGATAGAACTTCCAGCCCCTCACACCTTCATCCCACTTCCTCCTTCTCCTTTTTGTCTCACCTGGAGTTTATAAAGGTGGTACCCAAGTAGGATAATGATTTGGACTCACATAGTTTGAGATTTTTAAAACAGCCCACCCAGGCCCCCGGAGGCTGCTGTTCAGTGGCTCCAGGCATCGGGCAGCCACTGGCAGAGACGGCATAGCCAGGGCCCAGGCCTCACCGCTGCCCTGGCCAGAGTGGCTCTGCTTCTATTGCCTTTAAAAAAAATCCTCACCCAAGAAGTGAAGATATTTTTCTTTTGATTTTTATAGAGAAAGTGGAAGGGGCGGGCGGGCGGGGGAGGGGAGAGAAAAACATTCATGTGAGTTCATGTGAGAGAGACACATCAATTGGTTGCTTCCTGCACGTACCCTAGCGGGGTGTGGGAATCAAACCTGCAACCCAGGTGACCTGCCTTTGTCCGGAGTTGAACCTGAGACCCTCTGGTGTGCAGGCCAGTGCTCTAACCATTGAGCAACCTTTATTTCTTTCCGGTATTAGAGTTCTAAGTGAGATTTTGTATAAGGAGATGGAAGGGCTGTGTTGGCAAAGGAGTTGGGAAGCTGCTCATGGTGGACACCTTGTCCCCACTGTTAGGTTGAAAACACCCCAAACACGAATTCTGCTGGAGGCCGACTCCCATGATGCTCTGGGGAACTTGGATTTTCCCAGAGGCCCCCATGCTCCTCTCTGTTGACAGAGACGGAGTGGCTGCTCTCCCCGTGGCACTTGCCAGCCCCCGTGTTTAATTTTTTCTCTTGTTGTATGGGGTGTTCTGGCCCTGCAGCTCTGCGAAGGCAAAATCAAATTATCTTCTGTCTTGATCCAAATACGTTTTGTCTCCGGGAAAGCCCTGGGCGAGGGAAGCTTTTAGACGATCGCTGAGGTGGTTTTCTCAGCAGGCCTCCCGACGGACACCCCACCTTTCTCTCCCCTCTTTGTGTCTTTCAGTCGGCGGAGTTCTTCGAGATGCTGGAGAAAATGCAGGTGAGCATCCATCCCCAAGGGGGAGAGCCGAACCCTGGGTAGGGGGGGTGCTGCAGCGACCTCGGGGGACACAACACCAGGCAGAACCCACGGGCAGAACGTGGGCACCTTGGAGGGAGGGACAGAGAAGAGAGAACTCACCGTCCCAATGGCCTGGACAACCCGAGGCCATTTCCACACCGAGGGGCACAGTGGCTTCTGGGCCGGCTCCTGCCCGAAGACCAGGGAGAAGATAAAAAACAGAAACTGCATGCAGAGTGGATGGACGGGCTGCCGTCAGCCCCATGGGTGTGGGGAGAGCCTGAGAGATGTTCCTGGAATGGCTGGAAAGAAAGCCTGAAAAAGACAGCCCCTTCGTGGGGGCCTCATCCTGTGCTGGGAGGCAGAGCGGAGGCCGAGAGACGGACCCTGAGTTCAAACTCTGCATCTAACGCTGGCTTGCCAAATTCCTCCCCTTTCTAACCTCTCGCTCCTGTTTTTTGTTTACTAACAGACGTGTTCTCCCCTCACTCTGACACCAAGCGTGTGGTGTGTTCCCCCCACCAGACAATCTGTGCAGCCAGCTGGGCTCCACGCAGTTCTGACGCTGTCTCCCTGGAGGTAGTGTCAGCTCCCACAGGGCACGGGCACTGCCCCGGGGGCTGCCTCCACTCCGATGCCAGTCGCAAGTCCAGGTTGCCACTTGGGCTTCTGACCCTCCGGCGATAAATAGGAGGTCCCCACGACCCCCTTTTCCAGTTCAGTTAATTTGCTAGAGTGGCTCACAGAACCCAGGGAAACGGTTTACTTACCAGATTGCCAGTTTATGGTAAGGACACAACTCAGGAACAGCAGCTGGAAGAGAGGCATAGGGCAAGGCCTGTGGGAAGGGCCTGGAGCGGCCGTGCCCTCTGAGTGCCCCACTCTCCCCAAACCTCCACGGGTCCACCAACCCCAGACGCTCCCCAAACCCCACCCTTTTGGGTTTTATGGAGGCTGCATTAGGCATGATGGACACAATCACCGGCTGTGGGTGATCGTCTCAACCTCCAGCTTCTCTCCCCTCCCCCGAGAGTGGGAGTGGGTGGTGGGTTCCCCTGTCAGTCAGCTCCCATCCTTCGGAAAGTCCCAGAAGACACCTCATTAACATAAACTCACTGACACAACTCCTGGGGAACACTCCTTTCGCCGTTATGGCTGTGGAGCTGTTGCAGGAACCAAGGACCAAAGACCAAATCCTAGAACAAAACTGCTCCCAAGTGCTCTCATTGCTCTTATCACTTGGGAAATTCCAAGGGTTTTAGGAGTTCTGTGCCAGGAGCGGGATAAAGACCAAAATATATATTTCTTACAATAAATCACTATCACAGCCTCTGTAGAGATAGGAGAATGAAAATGTCCACTTGCATTGTTTCTGGGATGAAACAAGATAATTTTTGTAAATACTTGGTGGGCAGTGCATAGAGTCAGTGTGTAGTGTGGAGGCGTTTGCAATTACTCATCACCAAAGGGTCAGGCTCTCAGGTAAGACCCACTGCGTTAAGGAACATGGGGAGAGGTCCAGAAGGTATAATTGATCCAGGTGGAAAGAGTGGCAAGAACATACTGATAAGTATATTTTAAGCACTGGTCTGGGGCGAGAGGTTGACAGGTGTTATCTCATTTCTTCTTGACAAGGCCCCCAGGAGGCAGGTATGTTATCATCATCATCATCATCATCATCATCATCATTCCCATTTCATAGGTGAGAAAACTGAGGCACAGAGATATTAAATAAAACACTCAAGGGCTCATGGCTAGCAAGTAGCTCCAGAGCCAGAAGGCATAGTCATTATGTCATGCTTCTTCCCTGAAGTAGATGCTCCAGGCACGAGGAAGGAAGGATCTATAGGAATGGACTGGAGTAGGAGGAAAGGCACACAGGGTGCCCACTGCCGTCCTGAGATGCAGGCGGAGCTTCTGAGAGGGCTGCTGCTGTGAGCGAGCCAGGTCCTCCCCGGAAAGCAGGTCTCCCTAAGGATGGGGAAGGGGAGGGTTGGTTTGAGAGAAAAATATTTGTAGTGGTTGTGTCCTTATCACAAGCAAGTTATTAAGATCCTCCTCTGTGCCCAGCAGAGTGTGGACAGCCAGCTAACTTAATATGTATTTATATGCATTTAGGGGACTTACAACCAGGTGGTGGGCACGGAGATGGTAGGTGCCTTGACAGCGAGTGCCTATATAACGGAGCGCTCCGTCCGCTGGAGGAAAGCCGGGTCTCACCCAAGCCCGCGGAGTCATGGCAGTCTGGGCAGCTGGCAGGGCGTCTGCAGCGCACCCTGCCTTCTCTCTGGTTTCTCCATGACCACCCACCCCTCGCCCCCAGGAGCACATGATTCAGCCCTGCGTAACCGGCCTTGTGCTGTTCTGTTGTTTGGAGGCCACGGGCTTGACTTCGTAGCTCGATCGGGAGCCTCTGCAGGGCGGGAGTCTGGCTGTGGCTCCCTCTGTGTCTTCATGGCAGCCCACACCAGGGGCAGCTGCTGACTCCATGTCAGTAGAGACTTTAGGGGTCAGATCAGACTTCAGTGTTTAGGTCCCTACCATGTGCCCCCCGGGCCCCAGCCTCTGAGCGGCCGAGGTTTTCAGCTTCTCTGTATGTGGGAAACTCACATGGGGGTTCTGTCCCTGAGTGTGGGTGCCATCTGGCCTCGTGCTGCAGTGTGGGGCCTGAAGCTCAGCAGGCCGGCGCCCAGGGCCCTCTGTGACCCAGGACTCCTGACCCCAGCCCTAGAGGCTGGGAATTTGAAGATGGGCACAGGTTTGGGTCCTCTCTGTTCTGGGTTCAAATTCTAACGCTGACAGGCCGAAGCGGAGTGACCTTGGTCAAGCCGTTCGACTCCCCTGAGTCCCAATGTCTTCATGGCGGGGGCGGGGGGGTGGGGGCGGGGAGAGAGATAATGAAGGGAGAGGGCCCAGTGCTGGCAGTGGCACTGTCATGGTGGAGGGGAGGGGACAGGAGGAGGTTTGTTCTCCGGCCCAGGGGCTGTTCCCAGGCTGGAATGACTCATGCAGGACAAACAAAACAAACTTCTGATGTCAGGCCCTTCCCCACCCGCCCAGTTTGCCTCCCTGGACAGGGTCTGCAGGCCACCCAGGTGGTTTCCTCCCTGTGTGGGGAGAGGAGCACCTGCCCAGGGGGAGGGGCCCCCACGCCCACCTGACCAGGGCCACAGGTGACTCAGCCCGGAGAGGCGGGAGGAGCCTCTAGTCTGCCCCGTGAGCAGGAACCCTGAGCCCGAGGGCTCCGCGATTTGGCCATGCACTTGGTGGACAGATGGCCCGGCTTCAGAGCCAGGCCCTTCCACACACTAACTGAGTGACATTCGGCAGGCAGCTTCCTCCCTGGGCCTCGGTTTCCCCTTTGGTAAAAAGGTGCTGAGGGCTTCAGAGGGGACGGTAGAGGGAGTGCGCTGTGGAAGGTTCAAGTCCCCGGCCTTACATTATGACGAGGCAGCAGCTGCTTCCGGACTCTCTTCTCTCCTAGTTGTCCCACCGATGATGTGGATTGATTCACGTGCCTGTGGGAGCGCCATGTGCTCTCCTCCCACGAAACCCAGTTAAGTGGGAACTTGACCGTGGGCTAACGGTCTAGGTCTAGGCACTGTCCCCGCAGCGAGTCTTCCCGATGCTGCAGGGGAGCCGGTTAACCCAGGCCCCGTCCCCTGTGGTGTCTGCTCCTTGCAGGGACACATCTGAGAGGGGAAGGGCGGGTGTTAGAATCCTCATTTCACAGAGGAAACGAGGGGCGCTGCCGAAGGCTTAGCATCACTAATAGCAGGAGAGTGGCAGAATGAGGACCAGGCGCAGGCCACCTGCCTGCCACCCATGGGCCCTCTCACCAGGGAGGGGCTGGAGCTGGTGTGGCATGAGGTCCAGAGTCTGGCTCTGACCCCCACAGACATGGGTTCCCTTTCTGCCCCTCACCTCATCCTCTGGGAGACCGGGGGCGCTATTTCAACGCCATGACGATGGTACTGCCTACCCCGGGATAGCAATACGTCAGAGCCTTTACTATATGCCGGTCATTCTTCCACGGGCTTAACATGTTATCCACATTTTACCTTCACCACCATAGTAGGTGCCCTTACTGTTCCCATTTTACAGCTGGGAACACTGAGCCACAGATAGGTTTTGTGACTTGCCCAAGGTCGTAAGTGACAGTGTTGGGATTTGAACCCTGGTGATCTGGCTGAGTCCATGCCCTTCACCCCCTGCCCTGCTGCCTCGTCCGGGCTGCTGTGAGGTCTGCGTGTGCCGAGGTGTGTGACTTGCAAGGGCCCAGCACGTGGCAGCCCTTTGCTGTTATTACCACTGACCCCCCAGCTAAGGCAGGTGCTCCCAAGGGTCTGCTTCCTCCGTGCCGTCTCTATTTTGTGGCTCTTGCTTTTCCATGGATCCTCTTTTCCTTGTTTCTGCAGGGGATCAAGCTTGAAGAGCAGAAGCCGGGACCCCAGAAGAACAAGGTGGGCTGGGTGGGCGAGCTGGCAGCCAGGTGGGCCCCGTGAGGGGGCCAGGCGAGAGGAAGGCAGGGGCGGCGGCCAGCATGCTGGGGTCCGCTGTCTCACACCATCTAACTCTGACTTTCACCTTGTTGACCAGGGCATGGTGAGCAGGAAGGCAGGCCTTGGTGAGGCCTTTAGGCACCTTCGGAGCAGGCTGGGGTGGGGGCCTCGGGGGAGACCCGAGGCTTGCGGTGTGGCCTGGCTCCCGCACACCTGCTCCTGGGAGCGCACCACACACACAGTGTGTCGGGGTGTCAGGCTCCGCTCCAGGCTCCAGCAGGCAGTCAGCTCTCAGCTTCAGGTTCTGTTCCCAAGGCCCAGGAGGGCCGCTTATCACCTGGAGGTCAGCCCCCTTGCCTGGGGGGGACCAGGGCCGTCCCCCCGTTGGAGCCTCCTGGGAGAGCAGCTCGTGTCAGGATGCGTGTGAGGTCCAGCGCCTTGTGTCCTGCGTCTTCCTTCCTCTGCACTGCATCTTCCGCTGGCCCCTTTGCACTCAGGTTCTGTCAGTTCGGGGACGAACTCGAGAGAAGCCAGAGCCCAAGCTGCCTGTAGGCTGTTCACCCGCCTTGGTGCAGCCTGCCAGGCCCCCAACACCTCCCCCCAGACCTGGGGGAGGGAAGGGAAATGGTGACCAAGCTTCACGGGCCGGGCTGTGCTGGGACTGACGGTGGCATTGTGTGGTTTGTCTTGCAGGACGACTATATCCCGTACCCCAGCATCGACGAGGTAGGAGCCCCCTGGATCCTGTCTCGGGGGCAAGGCCCGGGGAGCTGAGGGCGATGATGGTGATGGTCCCTCTGCCTCCCCCTGGTGGGGAGAGCCTTAGGACTTGAGGGCCTGAGACCTTTCCCGTTTGTGACTTCAGCTTTTTTAAAAAAAAATCAGGAGTGCCGAAGTTGGAGATATTGTGGGTCCTGGAGGAGGGGTTCATGCTACTGCCTTTGGATTCCTGTATGGGGGTCCCCTCTGTGGGAGTAGCTCAGAGGTTGGGGGGATACCACCATTGGCGCCCCTCCACTTCCCCCACAGACCAGGGCAGGCTGCAGGGCAAGACTCTCCCTTTGCCTCCAGGTTGTGGAGAAGGGAGGCCCGTACCCCCTGATCGTCCTGCCCCAGTTTGGGGGATACTGGATCGAGGACCCGGAGAACGTGGGCACGCCCACCTCGCTGGGCAGCAGCATCTGTGAGGAGGAGGATGAGGACAGCTTCAGCCCCAGCACCTTTGGCTACAAGCTCGAGTGCAAGAGTGAAGCCAGGGCCTACCGCAGGCACTTCCTGGGCAAGGTGAGGCCAGGCCCTGGTGAAAGCGGCTACTGGGGGGTCGGCCTGGGGAACCCAGCGTCTCTCCCCAGTGCCCCCTCTCTGCCCTACCCCTCCCTCGCCGCCTGCCTCTGTCCTCCTTGGAGAGGTCTGCCTGGCTCTGCTCCTGGGCAGGGGGCAGGGGGTGTGCAGGAGCCCAGGGGGCTCAGTGTGATGGGTCCTTGTGGGGACCGCCCCCAGCAGATGTTCTAGGAGGCGATGGACTAGGTAGTGTTTGGGGGGTGGAAGGAGAAAATACATTCTCACTCCTTGGAAGTCTCCGTGTCCATGTAAATAGTACGAATCTCTCATGGCCTCACTCAGCCAGGTCCCCTGTGCTTGTGCCGGGATGTGCTCTGAGCCTCTGACTGCTTAACCGGGACAGTTCCGTTTCTTTCCATACATCCTGCCCTTCAGCCTTGCCTGGTTCCGGAAGTCCCGAGGGCAGGCTCCGGGAGTCTCCGGCCCGCCAGCTTTGCTGAGTCTCCAGGGGAGGAGATGGATCAGGATCCCCCTGTCTCCCCGCCTTGTTAGAATTCAGATCCCAGGCCCCGCCCTAATACAGCAGGCTGGGTGCGCCCCCTGAGCCGGGGTGAGACCCACTGTGAGATCTCCCCGCTCCGCTTGGTGGAGGTGCCAGGCCCTGCCCCTTCTTCATTCTCACAAATCGCCTGAAGCCGCAGGGGCTGCTCCCTGGGACGGGGAGTGGACTCAGTGTTTTGTGGGGAAGCACTTGAGCTGCAGTCGAGGCGTGTGTGGGTTTGAATCCTGGATCTGCCGCCTTCTAGCTGTGTGACCCTGGAGAGTGACTTAACCTGCCTGCACATGTTTTCTCCATCTGTGACATGGGAGCTGCCCCCATAAAGTTGTGGTCTGGGTTAAAGGAGATAATGGGTACTAAGCAATTAGCCCAGTGCCTGGCACAGACAGTCTGAAGATTTGGCTGTCGGAGTCAATTACTGTGGTCCTCCTCCTCCTCCTCCTCCCCCTCCCCCTCCTCCTCCTCCTCCTCCTCCTCCTCCTCCTCTCCCTCCTCCCCCTCCCCCTCCCCCTCCTCCTTGTCCCTCTTCTCCTCCTCCCTCTTCCCCTCTTCCTCCCCATCTATAGCAGCCACAGCTGGTGCATCCTAGTCTTCCTCCTTGCTGTGGGGCTTCTCACTCCTGGGGAAGGAGGTGATTTGGGGGGCTGTGCCTGGAAGGCCCCCTCCTCCCTGCTAACACCGATTTCTGCTTCTAGGATCATCTAAACTTTTACTGCACCGGTAGCAGTTTGGGGAACCTGCTCCTGTCCATCAAGTGCGAGGAGGTGGAGGGCATTGAGTACCTTCGGATTATTCTCAGGTGGGGCTGCTGCACGGTTGGAGGCCACACCCCTAGTGGTGGGGACCCAGAAATACCAGTCTGACCAGTCCTGTGTGTGTGTGTGTGTGGGGGGGGGGCGGGGAGGGGTGGAGGTGGGGATGGGGAGACAGACCGGCCTATGTTCTCTGTTCGGGTTGCCAGGCAGGAAGACCAGGTGTTTTGCCAGCTGACTGATTGTGGGAGGCGGAGTGGCATCCTGGTCTCAAGGTCACATAGACCTTACCTTCACTGCCTGTCTCTGGCTGTGAGGAAGACGGAGAGGAAAGATAGCGACGGCTCGTTTTGCAGAGACACAGTCCCACGTGGTCCTGGGAGAGGGTTTGCCGGGACACAGCCCACGGCACACATCCAGTCGGGAACTATAGACCCCAAAGCATCCGCGTGCATGCTGGGTCCTCAGGATGTGGTGGTGGCCACAACAGAAGCACCGATTTACAGCTAAGCCAGGGACCTCTCCGGAACCGGCTTCCGTTCAGTTCGACTAACATGTCCCGTGGAACCGCCTTTGTACCAGGAGCTGTGATGGGGCTTGGGCTGCAGTGGTGACTGAGCGGTGGTAACCTCTCCAGAGGGAGAAAAGAAGGGGATTTCAGTGTGTAGCGCAGGTGCTGTTTCAGTGACAGGCACCGGGTGCTGTGGAGCCCAGAGTCTGTCTCATTCCTCTGTCCCTGGGCCGGTGGGGAAGCCAGGACGGCCAGTGCCAAGGCCGAGGCCGGTGCTTGGCAGGGAGCTGTGAACCTGTCAGGCTCCCGATCCCTACTTGTTGAATTAAATTGGAAGTCCTTGAAGGAAACGAACAATAACATTTGGAAAAGAGCAATAACATTTTTTTCTGCCCAAATTTTGAGATAAATATGGGAGGGGACAGGGACACGGAGCTCTGCGATGGGAGAGGTGGGGTGGTACCGGGAAGTTGTTAGCAAAAATCAAAGGAGAGCATCCGGCCGGTCCATTGATGATGCTGCAGAGAAGCTGGGGGAGATGTGGAGGCGCTGCTGCCGGCGGCCAGCAGCCTTCGGAAAGGAAGGCTGCTGAGCTGAAGGCTACTGCTGCGTCCCGAGCTAGAGGAGAGCCTGGTGCGGCAAGAAGGGAGTCGTCAGGGCTGAAAAAGAAGAAAAAGAAGAAGAAAAGGATGATGAGGAGGAAGAAGATGAAGATGATGAAGAGGCTGGTTCTAGCACAATTTTTTTCTTGTCTATAAAGCATTTAACCTCCTGCACACAACTCACTCCTTTTAAAGAAAAAAGTTGAGAAGGAAGGCGGTGGAAGATTTGTTTTTAAACTGCACAGTGTCTTTTTTTTGTATAGTTAACACACTACCAAATGTATCTTTAGATAGCCCTGCCCTGGTGCTATTTCCTTTCTTTCTTTTCTAAAATATGTTTTTATTGATTTTAGAGTGAGAGGAAGGGAGAGGGAGAGAGAGAGAGAGAAACATTGATTGGCTGCCTCCTGCATGTCTGCTATTGGGGATTGAGCCAGTAACCCGGGCATGTGTTCTGACTGGGACCTCTCGCTACATGGGACTGTGTACAACCAACTGAGCCAAGCCAGCCAATAAAGAAGGAATATGCTAATTGACTGCCACACCCTCAAAGATGGCGGCACCCACAGCCTCAAGATGGTGGCGCCCAGTCCCCTCAGCCCGCCAGCTGCCCAGGGCTGCCCGAGGCTCAGGTAACCAGGGACGGCTGAGCTTGCACTGTCAGCAGTGGCAGCAGCAGAGGTGTGATGGGGGCGTCACCTTCCCCTGTTCGCCGGGTCGCCTCCCGCCCCTGAGGGCTCCCGGACTGTGAGAGGGGGCAGGCTGGGCTGAGGGACCCCCCTCCAGTGTATGAATTTTCATGCACCGGGCCCCTAGTATATATATAATGATTAAAATATGCAGAAATTCACAGAATACAATTATAGTGGTAGATTAAAACACACTTCTTATCACTTACAGCTCAACACAACTTATCACTTACAGATAGGAAATGAGAGCACTTGGATAATCTCAGTATTATTTATGTGAATTACATATATTGGTCTTTATTTGTATCTATCTATATTTAACTATCAAAGTTTGACCCTCTAACAGAGATTTCTGCTGCTTTTCAAGTGCCTGTGGAATATCTACACACTGATTGTAAGGAGATCAGTGGTTTTCTGAGAATGTGCTGCAACAGTTATCTTGGAGCAAAGCGAAAACCAAAAAACAAAACTCAAACTTCTAGGCGCTGACCATTTAAAAGATAATAAAGCCCAGCCAGTGTGGTTCAGTGGTTGAGGATTGATCCATGCACGGAGAGGTCCCTGGTTCGAGTCCCGGTCAGGGCACATGCCTGGGTTGCGGGCTCGATCCCAGTAGGGAATGTGCAGGGGTCAGCTGAGTGTTTCCATCTCCTTATTTCTCTGCCTGCCTCTCTCTTTCAAAAAAACACAAAACAAAACAAAAAACCAAACACATGTTTTTTTTTAAAATGACAATAAAAATTTAAACATGCACATACATATATATTTGAATATAAATATGTAAGATACATAAATACATAAGTAATAACATATATCCTTATTCCTTTTTTATTTCTAGAATTCTATAGAACATTGTTCTGTGACTTCTCTTAACAATATATCTAGAGTTCTTTCTATATTAGTACATGGAGAAGTTAGCTTGTTAATTCCTTTTACTGCTGCATAGTATTCCATTACATGGACATGAAGTAATTTATTTAATAGATCCCCTATTAATGGCCATTGTCAGTATTTTGGTATCACAAATAATGCTGCAATGAGTAACCTGGTACAAATTGTATGGTTTAAAATAATTTCTCAGAAGTGAGTTGACTGGGTCAAAACATAAATGCATTCGTGTTTTAATAGATATTGCCAGCTAGCCTTCTGGAGGAGGCCTGTAAACTTGAACCATTGCCAGTAATGTACCAGAGTACTTATTTTTCCAAAGCCTCTCCAACAGAGTATTTTGTCAAGCACTTGGATTTTTGCCAATCTGATCAGCAAAAATAATATGTTAGTGTAGTTTAAATTTACAATAACTTTGCTGAATTATGTTGGGCATCTCTTCATATATTTGAGGAACACATGTATTTATTTTCTGTACAGTGTGTTTATAACCTTTGCTTCTTTTTAAAATTGAATTGTTAGTCCAAATTTCTATTTTTAAAAATCTTGCAGGTAATTCTTGCTAGCATGTGGATTTAGGAACCGATCTCTTGAGGCACAAAGTAAATCTGTATAAATTTCAAAAAGCAGATACTTTGCCAAACATATTTGCTTTTATAATTCGATACATTGTAGCCGCTCAATATGGCTGCTGTCATTATCAATATTATTACCTAAAGGGAATAAGAGGAAGGAATTAAGAAAGATTAAGGCCAACAAATAAATTAGAAATAAAATGAACACAAGACTTGATATATAAATCTAGGCTACAGATTTATATGTAGTGTAGAAAAAGATATACTTCCTTTGGAAGAAAAAAACAACAAAATAGGTGACTAGCTAGTCAAATATAGATGAACATAAAATAAAAACCTACAAAATTAGGCATTAGGAAAGGTATATAACCACAGATGTGAAGAAGATTAAAAAATTACTAATAGATGTTATATTCAATCCACATTATTATACTGGAAATTTTATTTGGAACAGATGCCTTTCTAGGAAAGCATGCTAATTTAACACGAGATCAAAACCCGAACAATAACTATGTAATAAATGGAAAGTTTGCAAAAAATGCTCTCTCCAAACGTTTCTAGGTCTGGATGGTTTGCAGGTAGTTATTTTAAGCTCACAAGGAACAGATTTCTTGCTGCTTAAATTGCTCAAGAGAAACAAATACGGGAAGCTTCCCAATTAATTTAACAATGCTTAGGAGATTCTCGTGAACAATATTAGACCAATGAAAGGAAAAAAGAAAGAGAGGAAAATAGGGCCCAATATTCCTTATGAATATGGAGGTAAAGATTCTAAATAAAATACCAATTCCAGCAACTCAAATCTAAGCAGTCTATTAACAGAATAATTCACTATAGCCAAGAAAGAGTTACTTTAGGAATGCAGAAATGGTTGATGTTAGGAAATTATTTGTCCACTCAGTGTTTGTCTAACCAAAGCATAACAGCGTATGAGGGACATGTGAGGAATAAGCGCTTGTTGCCTGGCTATAGGAAGCATTCCGTTCCCATTAGGTATTCCTATTCCTTCTTCTTACTCATCTTCTCCTATGGACATGGATTATTATTGGCTTGGGAGGATGATCCAAAGATAGATGGTCTGGGAGAAGTGAAAGAAGTTCCCAAGAGCTGGAATGTGGAGTGTGTGTATACATGTGCATAGTACGTGTGAATGTGTGTAAGGTTGAATGGTCATGCTGGGAAGATTTAAAAAAAAGGCAAAATCATGTATAAACTCTGTCTAGGAACTTAGATTTTAATCCTGTGAGCAAATAGGAGAGATCCTGAAAGGAGACCATCATGACCAGACTTGCACTGTGGAATGAATACTGCCTAGAGTAAGGAAGATGGCTTGAAGGGAAGGCAAAGCCAGCAAGCAGCCGGCAGATGAGTCAGGAGGCTGCCTTGATGAGTCAGGTGACTGTCATATATTATGAATGGCGCCTCAAGAGCTGTGCTATCCAATGGCCCTGATGGGAACTGGAACCGGGGTGCCTGGCACTGAGGATAGAGAAAAATGGGGGGGGGGATTCCAAAATACCCAGGGAAAATGGACATTAAGAAAGCCGAAAATACCAACGAGAGAGGGATTTAATCCAATGAGATGTAAACAATGGTACTCTTTCAAAACGACTTAAATAAAGATTCTCAGAAGATAAAGAATAGCATCTACAAAAGAGATAATAAATTATGATACAATGAATGAATAGAAATGAATCAAGAATGGATATACATGGGTATGAAAAGGAAACAATTTCAGTTATTGGAAATAAAAAAATAGTTGTTGAAGTAAAAACACTTAATACATTGGATGCATCCTAGTCTTTTAACAGTCAAAGTGAATCTGTGAATTGGAATTCGTCAAGAAATGCAACAAGAGCACAGTCCAGATATAGTGATAAAGTATATGAAAAAGAAGATAAATGGACACTGGGCCGAGAGGCCCCAGCATTTGTCTTAAAGGAGTTCCAGAGGAAAAGAGTGGAGAAGCCTGTGGAGAAGAGCCATCCGAAGAGAGAATGGCTGGGAATACTTCAGAATTGAAGAAAGAAAGCAGACCTGTGGTGCTGGACAAGATTTTAAAACAAAACAATCCTTCTGGACACATTGCAGGGAAATATTAGGACATTGCGTGCGGCTCAGTTGGTTGGGAGCTGGAAGGTTGCTCATTCCAGTCCCGGTCAGGGCACGTCCCTGGTGGTGGGCTCGATCCCGGGGAGAGGCCATGCTGGAGGCAGCTGATCCATGTTTCTTTCTGACATCTATTTTCTCTCTCTCTCTAACCCTCTACCTTCCTCCCTCTCTCTAAAAAAACAACAAAATACAAAAAAACACCAACAAAAAGAGAACATTTTAAAGCGACCTAAGAACAAGGACATTATCTGTGAAGTAAGGACAGCCAGGCTGAGAGCAGACTTCTCATCAGCCACGGCACAATTTCTGGTCAGCAATGGGACAATATTTTGAAAATATTGAAGGAAAGAAGGAAAGAATCCTTTTAACCTAAAATTCTATACCCAGAAAAACTATTCGCAAAGACAAAATAAGACTGTTTTTAGACATAAGGAAAATGAAGGGTGTGGTGTACTACTTACACACTCTCCCTGAAAGAACTACTAAAGGGTGTGCATCAGCCAGAAGAAAAGAGAGACCAAAAGAAAAGATGCAATTATAAAGTGACAAGAAACAGGCAAACTACGTTGATGAAATTAATTACTGATTGGAAAAAAGAAGTCATTTATTTGTGTGTGTTTAAAGAGGCTTGAGCTAAATTTATAAACAAAAGTAGAAGGGCAATGGGATGAGAAGGGTTCAGTAGTTACTGTTTACCCTTCTCAAGAGAGAGCTATCAAATAAGTTTAGAGTTTGTGGGGCAAGTATATAAATATGTGTATTAGAAGTTATAGAAATACAATCTATAGCAGAGTGACAAAAAGTATTTAAAAAACTCTATTAAACTGAAGACAGGCAAGGAGAAAAAAAGGAAAAAACCCCGCCATAAAACATAGGGTAATAGAAAACACCAGATAATAAAAGTCGAAATACATTAGTAATCACAATAAGTATAAATAGTTTAAAATAGCCTATGAAAATACCAGACGGAACCAAAAACACAGCTATGTTCTGCTTGTAAAAGACATACCTAAAGAAAAACAATGTGAAAAGATTTAAGATGAAGAAATGGAAGAAGATATGCTGGGAAAATACCCACCGAGAAAGGATGGCATAACAATATTAATATCAGACAAAATAGAATTTCAGGAAAAAAGCATTAGCAGGGTAAGAGGAGCACTCCTTGGTAACTGGGGAGCACCTCTTCCCACTCTTGATGTTCCTGTGGTGTGGAGGGAGCACTTGGTGCGACACCCTGGCTCCCTCCGCCCTCTCTGTTAGGGCATTTGGGAGCAAGAACTGGACACATGCAGCTGTGTTCTTCCCCTTTCCCTCTTGGAGCTAGCTGCCATCAGGGCTTCCCTCTGCCCCCCTGGACTGCAAGTCCCCCCTGAGCAGACCCCACGCGAGGAGGCTTGCCCCTGCCCAGCACTGGCTGTGACTGGGTGGGTAATTCTGGAGTTCAGTTAAAAGATTCATTTCATCTTCACGCTAACCTGCGTGCCCCCTCTTGGCCTTTATCAGTAACAAAGGAGTTATTTTGACTTCCAAATGCCTTACTCTTCATTTTTTCTTTCTGAATGTGTTCATAACCTGGGCAAGGAAAGATGCCCTTTACGGGAGCGTCAGAGTCCTCAGCCTACGTGATGCTAAAGAGAACAGTCCACCCAGAAGATCTAAGAGTCCGGAACGTGTAAACCCGTACTTAGTAACAGAGTCTTGAATTTAAAAAGCCCAAAACTGTTAGGAATATAAGAAGAAGTAGACAAATCCTCGGTTATGATGGGAGATTTCAGTAACATCTCTCATATACCGATGGACAAGCAGACAAAAAATTGTGAGGATATAGAAGATTTGAACAATACAATGAACAAATTTGATCTCGTAACATACTTCCCTGAACTCAACAAAAGAAAAATGTACATTCTTTTCAAATCCATACAAAACGTGAAAAAAGCCCATGAATTAAGTCAATACATTTCAAATAATATCATACAGATTGTGTTCCATGAATATAAAAAATTTAGAAGTCAACAATTAGAATACTGAAGGAAAAAAAGTCATACATTTGGAGAGTTATGGAAAAATCCTTTTAAATAACTCATGGGCTAAAGGGGAAATCACAAAAGAACTGACAAAATATTTAGACCTAAATGACAATGAAAATACTACTTGTCAATGTGTGGGATGCAAAAAAAAAAAAAAAAGTAGAGAAAAATGTATAGTATTAAATGCATTCATGAAAACAAAGAAAGATTAAATGTGTAAGTGTGTGGGTCAAGAAGTTAGAAAAAGAATAGAAAAAAAAACCCCAAAGAAAACAGAAGGAAGGAAATAGAGAAAAGAACAAGCTAGCAAAGTAGAAAGCAAAGATAACAAAGAAATAGAGACAGTCAACAAAACCGAAAGCTATCTGCCTGAAAAGATGAATAGATAACCCCCTCGGGAGGGCTGAGGAAGGAAAACAGAAAATACACAGATGGTATGACGGCCATGAAGGAAGGGACTCAACTGCAGATAGAGACGAAGGGCTAAGAGAACCCCAAACAACTTTATACCAATGCATTTGATGATAATTTTACAGAAAAATATAAATCACCAAAATTGATCCAATAAGGAATGGAAAACCTAAATATTCACCATTAAATAATGGAATTGGTAGCGCAGGGATCCTCCCACAAAAAAAAGAGGCCCAGAGATTTCACAGATGATTTCTAGCAAACCTTTAAGAATCAGGAAATCCCTGTGGTATACAAACTCTTTCACACGATGAGAAGCTCTCCATCAACTTTATGAGGCTGGAATAACACCCTGATATCAAAACCTGACAAGGGAAGCACAAGAAAAATAAAATAGGCCAGTGTTGCTATTGAACATAGATGTGAAACTCTAAATAAAACATTAGCAAATTAAATTTAGCTTGATATGAAAAAATAATACGTGCGCAAGTGGAATTTTACCCTTGGAATGAAAAGATGGCTCAACAGAAATGTAATCCACTAGGTTTTACAGATTAAAAGCCCTATAATTATCTCAGCAGATGCAGAAAAGCATTCAGTAGAATTCAACACACTCATAATGTGCTAAATGAATTGGGAACAGGATAAATTTAGAGTCTTATGGTAAATCCCTTTATAAAGCAACTTTCATCCCATTTATATTTTGAGTAAATCCAGGTTTTCAAATATTAGTTTCTTTTTTTAAAGGTTTAGTTGCATGTGAGAACCTAAATATATATAGAAGCTGTGCCCAGGGCTCTGGGAGAACACAAAAAACCCACAAAGAGACCAAAAAAATCATGGGGAACTTGAAGGTGACGATTTGGCTTTTCCCATAGTTTGGTTTTGGACAGCTTTACCAGGCAGGTCCTTTAAGTGTCTCTCCCCCCCCCCCCCCTCCCCCGTGAGGTACCTACATAGCATTTCATTTTCCCACCACTTGAGTGTGGTGCCCATCGAGTGGGTTGGGTGGAATGAGGCAGATCTGACCTGGGGAGACGTGAAGCAAGTGTCCCTGCCCTGAGGTCTGGCGTGATCTCAGCCACCTTCCCCATTGACTCCTCTGCTTGGGGCACGTCTCCTTTGCAGGTCCAAAGTGAAGACGGTGCATGAACGGATCCCCTTGGCGGGCCTGAGCAAGCTGCCCAGCATCCCTCAGATTGCCAAGGTAAAAGCCAAGCCCCGAGAGAAGGTGGTTTCCTCTTCTAGCCCAGGGCTGGCCTCTGGGTGGGAGTGCAGGCTTGTCCTTTGGGGCGGGGAAGGCCACTGTACTCTTTGGCCCTTGACTGCATGGATGGGGTCGGCAAGCGGGGGTGGGGGGGTGGGCGGGGGGAGGGGGGGCTGTTGGCAGACACCTCTGTCTTCCCGTCACCCTCCCTATCTCATCCTCAGTATAATCCGGGGCCTCTGCCCCGAGTTCACAGCTAGTTCAGGAGACAGGAGACGTGGAAAGGGAGGGCTGGGTATGGAGAGTAGGACTTCAGAGGAGGAAGAGGAGGGAGGGGTGGCCAGGGAGCCTCCACAGCAGAGGAGAGTTGGGCTTAGGGATGGCTGGGCTGTTGATGCAAATGGAGGAGCCCTCAGGCAGGAGCCACCAGCTGGCGGGCGGGGAGGGAGGGGTTGGGGGGGAAGGGGGAGGTTGGGGGGTTGTGTCTGTTCTGGGATCCTGGGAACTTGGGAGCCGAATCAGCCAGTGGGAAGAGAAGGATGGTCAGCTGGATCCGCGCTTAGGGAGCAGGAATGCTGGGGGGAATTGTGCCCAGTGCCTTCGGTGTCCTCACTTCATCAGGAACCCAGGAAGTTAGTTGACTTCCCTGGCCACTGGATAGTGAGCAGCAGCGTCCGGATCCAACGCCAGGCCTCCCGACACCGCAGGCCCTGGCCTCCCGTGCGCTTTCCCCAGTGGGCAGGGGAGCCCAGATGCTCTCCAGATGTGGTTCCTGAACTGTGTGTTCTCTTTCCCTACTCAGGCGTTCTGCGATGACGCAGTGGGACTGAAATTCAGCCCTGTCCTGTACCCCAAGGTGAGACGTCCCCCCTCCCCTCCCCCAGGGCTCCATGGCTGGGCTCGGATCTGTGGGAATCCTCTGCATCTTGGTGGGGGTTTGTGGGGTCTCTGTGATAAACCTCCATGTCTCCCCTCTCCCTGCTCATCCTTCACAAACTGGCCACGCCTGGGTCTCCGGCTTGAGACGTCCTCAGCTGTGTGCAGGTGGCAGAGGGCTAGCACGGTGGCAGCTTCTCCACCTTCCAGCTTCCCTGCTCCTGCAGCCCTGATCAGCGCTGGGGGATGTTGCACCTCTAGCTGGAGGCTGGTGCAGACCTGGTCAGCCATCACAGGAGAGTGAGGGGGGCAGAAGGCAGAACCCCACTAAAAAGGAAGAGGCCAGACTGCAGCTCCTCATTGACAGTGTTACCGCAGCTCTGAGGCCTTACAAGCCCCTGCTCGGCCCTACATCATAAACCGGCTGGTTCTAGTTATTAGTTTCCTTAGGACTGTCCTGGTCTTCACCCTGGTTCTGATGTGGGCATGGGGGCGGAGGGGGGAGCAATAATAACACAACAAACCAACAACCCACTGAAGAACCATTATGGTGGGACAGGACTTACATCACCACAGACAGCAAATTGCATTAGATCGGCCGCAGGAAGAGGCCCCGTGCACCCACTGCTGCTTCGTGAGCCGGCGGGGTCTGGAGAGAGGCTGGGTCAGCGCTGTGGCCCCTGGGCTTGCTGGGGCGGGTCCGGTCCATGCCTGAGTCCCAGTTCCGACAGCCAGGAAGTGCGAGCTGAAATGTTTGGCGGGGAAGGGAGGCACTATCCTGGCTGGACCTCCAGAACCCCCTGGAACAGACACCTTAAATGTTCACGACTGGATAGGACACTCTGCTGATGGCTGAGCTCATGACAGGGCCTCTCTGCACAGAGAAGGCGCCAGAGCCCTTCTCTCAGGCACCTCTTCCCAGCACTCTGAGCATCCGTAGGCACTTAGCGGTAATAGGCTGCGCTCCACTGAACACTTTCTATCACTCCAAATGCCCTTCTTTTTATAATTAAAGCTGGATTAGTGAGGTTTAACCAAACATTACAGCCCCACCATAAAGGCCCCACTTAACGACCAGTTGGGCAGTTTTTGTTGTCAGATCATATCCACGGAGAGAGCCTGATGACGCCCATGTGCATAGTTCTCTCTGTCACTCGGGAAGCCTCCTGCTCTGGTAGCAATGCAGGAGCAGCTGGGCTTTCATGTTTTCCACATTTGAAGGACTGCTTAGTCCGGCTGGGATGTTACTCTGGCTGGTGTGTGTGTGTGTGTGTGTGTGTGTGTGTGTGTTTAAAATTCACAGAGTTTAGAATGTTCCTTGGAAGGTCTCCATGGCCGGGTGCCTCTTCCCTGGCAGGGCAGCTGCTCTGCTCCTCTGAGTCATCCCAGCAGCGAGTGGGTGGCTCCCTGCGGGTCGGCCAGCGGTGCTCTTCCAGGGGGAGCTGACAAGTGTCCATTTCCCAGGCAGCTGCGGGCCTCCCAGAGACACGTCATGTGTGGCAACCTAACACGGGCCTCATATTGCGGCCAGACAAGTCGCGCCTGGTTTGTTTCTCCCGTAACATGAGGTTGGATCCCTCCTTTTTATTGCAAAGGATATCCCAGTAGCGTCTAAATCTTCCCTCCCCCACTGAGCTGGGTCCACTCTGATCTTTCTGGGGAATGACATTGATGATGATGATGAGGAGGAGGAGGATGATGATGATGATGATGATGACAGCTGCTCTGTGCTCAGCACTTTAAGTGCTTGGTCTCATTGAATCTTCACAACCACACACCCCATTTCACGGATGAGGAAACCGAGGCCCAGAGGAGTTAAGTGGCTCACTCGGATCTGTAAAGGTAAAAGCAGCAGATTCCCAATTGGAGTTTAGCGTTTCTGACCCTCAGATACCTACTCTTGGAAGCGCAATGGAAAATTAGATAAAACCAGTGGTCAGGTTTCTTTGCCCTTTGCGGATTGTATTGGGTGTGTCACACCTAACAGGGGGCTTCGTAGACTCTCACTTACAGATAAAGGGGATTAAAGTCCGGCAGGAGCAGTGCCTTGTCAAAATCACCTGCTGATTACAGGTGGAAGGAGAGCTGGGGTCACCCTCGCTTACCAGTTTTGGGGGCCTGGCTTCACTTTTCACACCACAGGTAACACACTGGGGTAACATCAGTTCCCTGAGTCCGGCTGGACCCCCTGTGTGCCCAGGCCTTGGCTGGCACATCTGGATGGGAACGGAATCAGTGATCCAGAGGTTTGGCCACGACTGGGGAACGCTCAGGTGTTGAGACATAGCTAAGAGCTTTGGAGTTGCATCCTGACCGCCTACTTCTGACTATACCCTCTCTCCCCTTCTACGTGTGGGTGTCTCATGTCAGGGGGCACACTCTCCACTGAAATGGGTGCTTCCCCCTCCATTTCCCTCCAAATTAGTAAACAATCTGATTTTTCTTCCCACATTTTCCAGGCCTCCCACATGATTGTGTCCTATGATGAGCATGATGTCAAGAACACATTCAAATTTGGGGTCATTTATCAAAAAGCCAAGCAGGTAAGCACCACGAATCCATACTGGTCACCGTATCCTTCGGGTTCTCACTGGGGACTCTTTATTTCTTCCCCCGAGTACAAGAGCCCTGTACCATGTTCTTGAATATTTTGAATACAACGATTTTAAGTGTGAGTTAGACTGGAGGTGTGTGAGGAGTGGGGGACTCCTCACACAGAGGCCTGCAGAGCCTTTAAGTGGCAATGTAGTTTTCCATGCAGTAAATTCTAAATCTCCCCAGCTGCCTTAGCTCCTCTGCTGGTCACAACAAGAAAAATCAGACTGGGTAGAGGAGATGGATTAGCCCCAGCTGCTCTCTTTGCCCACCGTCCCCCCAGCTGGCGAGAGCTTTCTCTCCCCAGACGTCAGTAGTGCGGGAGCCAGTTGTGTGCATTTGTGCCCAAATCTGTGTTCAGCGACGTCATGTTTGTAGCTGGAATTCAGCCAAGGTGGGAGTATTTGCACCATGGTAATTGGCAAACACCAGGGCTTCTGTTTCCCAGTTTGGAGAACTGGTTGTTAAAAAATTTACCTGTATACCCACTGCTCCCCCCGCCCCCTCTGCCTCTTTTAGCTTTGTAGTTCCCAGTAGTGTTTCTCAAAATGTGTTCCATGAGACCGTCTGGTGAAGTACTCTGTGAACAAATGACACGGAGGGGGTTTGGTTGTCCAGAAACGTTTTAAAGGCTCTAAGAGCCCCACCATGTGAAAGAACTCCTTATAACTCTGTCGCATCTTTATTAACCTCCTGAGAAGTAGCCTGCTTGAACAGGCTAATGATGCCTCACCAAGGTTTTATGAAAGAAGGTTCCACACTCATTTTTTCTTGGTATCATCCAGGATCCTAGCATGGGACTTTGTATAATTACACTCATAATGTTTTGTGATGTGAATTAACGAGTGAATACAAGTTTTGGCCCTGCTAACGGTAGCTCAACAGTACCTTTCATTTTTATCCGTGGAGTTCCCCCCCCCCCCCCCCCCGTGTGTGTCTGGCTACATAATAGCCGACTTCCTTGTCTGAAGATATTAGACCACAAGAAACATGTGTTCGCTTAAAAACACTCTAATTAAGTGAAGAGTTTAGGAGCTGAAAAACCAACACAGATAAATCATGTAATTGAAGGGAGATTATTCTGGTAGCCGCTCTGTTTTCACATATTGCATTTTTATTTTGTACAGTTCTGCTCATGTAACCCACCTAATTAAAGCTCTTTGCTTGTGAAATTTACCAAAGCAGATCTCATAAAGTGATTACAGTCCAATGTTCCAGCGAAGTTATAATTACTGAACACTAACCATCCACCTCCAAGCAGGAGTCTGTTGTTTTTGTACCTGATGCTGTGGAGGCAAGGGGGGGGCGCGCAGGGAGATGTCTTTTTTTTTTTTTTTTTTAAACTTGGCAGATTGTTGTTCTGCAAACCTACGGCCTGGGGACATTTAATGTGAACATTTGTTGCATGAAAGCCCTATGCTGGTCGCAGGGTATAAATAAGCCCCATCTAACTCTTCTGTTTGTCAGGCACTGTGCTAAGCATTGTGGGGGATACAAGTGATGACGAAGACCCCCTCCCTGAGTGCATGGTCAAGCTCAAGGCCAGTCCAAAATAAAGATAATGCGCATACCAGGCTGGGTATAAATCTGGAGAGAGCTCTGGCTGAAATGTTTTCCCGGAAGGAGATGTTGTTGTCTGGAGCTAGGTGTTCTCCCACACTTTGGCCGCATAACCTGGGGCCGATGGGATGCTGGGCTAGAGCTGGGATGCCTTCCTGGCACGCTGAGAAAGTTTTCTGTGCAGGGCTAGATGGTAAATATTTTAGACTTGATGAGCCTACTGTCTCTGTTGTGGCCACTCAGCTCTGCCTCTGTAGTGCAAAGGCAGCCAAAGGCAATATGTAAATGAGTTGGCCTGATTGTGTTCCAATAAAATTTTATTTATAAAAACAGGCAGCAGGCCAGACTTGGCCCACAGGGCTAGTTTGCAGGCCTCTACTAGAGAGTGGTGTGCCCCAAACTTCAGACATTCACAAGCCATACTCAGTATCGTTTGTCCCACTGTATGGCACCGTTACAGTTTTTATCACACCTCTACTATCAATTGCGTAATATTTTCTTTAAAAGTTTTTTCAACTGAAATGCATTTGTTATTATTTTTAATATGTTTTTATTGATTTCAGAGAGGAAGGGAGAGGGAGAGAGAGATAGAAACATCAATGAAGAGAGCGAATCATTGATTGACTGCTTTCTGTATGCCCCCTACTGGGGATTGAGCCCACAATCCCAGTATATGCCCTACCCAGGGATCGAACTGGGACCTCCTGGTTCATAGGTTGACGCTCTACCACTGAGCCATGCCGGTTGGGCTGAAATGCATTTATTTTTAAAGGAAATTTTTATATTGATACTCTAATTGGAAAATCAGTATTGTTGTACATGAAATGAAGGTGGTTCTAAACAGAAATACTGTAAAAATTAAAAGTTACTGAAGCCTGACTGGATTCTGTTACCCATTGAAGGGTTGGAACCTGGGCTCAGCTCTTTTTTGGCTAATGTACTCGTTAAGGAGGCGTTAAAGAACACCTGCTGGAGACTTCTTCTTCAAGCGGTGGTGCAGACTGGAGTGTCTGCGTCACCTGAGGCTGCTCGTGGCCACCTGTGGATGCTTGTGGAGCCCTCAGCTGTTTGCAGGTCCTGCCACTGTGGGAGAGCCTGATGATCGGTGGGCCACTCAGTGTTTCAAGCCTGTCACAATTGTAGAGCCTACTACTCTTTTTAGCTTTGCCTTCTATTTAAAAACGTTATTAAACTTCTAATTTTTAGATATTTGTAGATTTACATGTAGTTGTAAGAAATTTATAGAAAGACCTGTGTACCCTTCACCCAGTTTCCCCCACCGGTAATCCTATATAATAAAGAGCTAATATGCTAATTAGACTGGATGGCAGAATGACCTTCCTGAACGACCTTTCGGATGACCTTCAGAACAACCAGTGGGTGTGGGGTGGGGCCTCAAGGCAGCTGGGGGTGCGAGGGCCTACTCTTGCATGATTTTCGTTTATCAGGCCTCTAGTGTCTTATAAAACTAATAGGGACCTGGTGCACAGATTTGTGCACTGGTGGCATCCCTTGGCCTGGCCTGTGGGGCTCTCTGACATCCCCCGAGGGCTTCTGGATTGCAAGAGGGTGGAGGCAAGGCCAAGGGACCCCACTGGTGCACTGGGCCTCTAGTATGCATATAAGATCTTTGGTTAATCTCTTCCCACCCTCCCCTTTTCTCCCTCCCGATTTCTCTCTGAGATTCATCAGTCTGTTCAATGTTTCCATGCCTGTGGTTTCTGCTCCTGTGTTGAGCGTCTGCCCCCTGGTGGTCAGTGTGGGTCATAGCTACCAGCCGGTTGGCTGGTCGCTTAGTCTTTTATATATATGTAGACTAGAGGCCTGTTGCACGAAGAGATTCGTGCAATAGGCCTTCCTTTCCCCTGGCTGCTGGCACTGGTTTGCCTCTGGCACCCGGGGCCCAGGCCTTTGCTCTGGCTGAGTTCTGGCTGGAGCCGGCCCTGGAAACATCAGGCTTCGCTTCTCCACTGGCCCCAGAGCTGTGAGGCCTCGCTGCTCTACCGGCCCCGGGCCGTCAGGCTTCGCTCCACTGCTTGGAGCCTACGTATGCAAATTAACCACCATCTTTGTTGGTGGTTAATTTGCATATCATGCTGATTAGCCAATGGGAGGCGTAGCGAAGGTATGGTCAATTTCCATCTATTATTAGATAAGATAGTGCAATATCACAACCGTGCAATCCATGGGTCTTATTCTGACTTCCCCAGTTTTATATGTACTCATCTGGTGTGTGTGTGTGTGTGTGTGTGTGTGTGTGTATTTCATTCTATATAATTTTATCACATGTTTAGGTTAGACAGTCAAGATACAGAATTCCAGTGCACTTTTTGCTTTTAGGACATCTTGTGTTTCCTTTTTGTAACCATGCCAATCTCCCTCCTGCCTCTTATGCTCCCTTCCCCCTCCAGTCTCTAACTCTTGGCAACTACTAATCTGTTCTCCAATTTCTAAAACTTTGTCCTTTCAAAAATGTTTTCTGAATCGCATCATACAGTATATAAAGTTTTGGGATTGGCTTTTTTCCACTTGGTGAAATTCATCCAAGTGTTGCAGCATGTCAAGAGTTTATTCTTTTTTATGGCTGAGTAGTATTCCATGGTGTGGGTGTACCACAGTCTGTTTAACCATTCACCCATTGACCAAAAGCTGGGTTGTTTCCAGGTTTTGGGTATTCTGAATAAAGCTGCTTTGAATATTTGTAGACAGGTTTTTATGAGCATAAGTTTTTAAATTTGTGGGATAAATGCCCAGTGGTACAATTGCTGGGTTATAAGGTACCTATATGCTTAGTTCTGTAAGAAACTGCCAAACTATTTTTGAGAGCAGTTGTTCCTTTTTGCATTCCTACCAGCAATATTTGATTGGTCTGTTATCTCCACATCCTTGGCAGCACTGGGTGTTGTTAGTATTTTTTATTTTGTCTGTTCTGGTAGATGTGCAGTGATATCTCATTATATTTATATCTTATTATTATTTTAATTTGCATTTCTCTAATGGCTGATAATGTTGAACATCTTTTCATATGCTTATTTGCCATCTGTATATCCTCTTAGGTGAAATGATTGTCATGTCTTTTGACTATTTTCTTTTTTTTATTAGCATAGTAATAGAAACTTCAAAAGGAAAGTTAATCACAGTAGATCCTAATCCTTAAAATAGAAAGCAGAAGTAAGAAGAGGATGCTATTTACAACCACAATCTTCTGTATCTCTGAACAGTACAGAAAGATTCCAAGAGAAAGATTAAGATGGCTGACTGTTGATTATATTCTAACTGGGTTATTTTTTACTGTTGAGTTAAAATTTAAAAAAAAACTTTAAACCTTTATTGAAGTATAACTCAGATACCATATAGTTCACAGTGGTATGTGGATTATATCTAAATAAAGTGTATAGTTCAGTTGAATATTCACAGAATTATGCAACTATCACCACTATCTAACTCCAGAACATTCCCGTCAACCCCAAAGAAAGTCTACATTCATTAGCAGTCACTCTCCATCACCACTCTCTTACCCCCTGGTAACGACCAATCGACTTTCTGTCTCTATGGGTTTCCTGGTCTGGACATTTCATGTAAATGGAATCATAACATGCGGCCTTTTGTGTCTGGCGTCTGTCACTTAGCATAATGTTTTCGAGATTCATCCATGTTGTAGCATGAGTCAGCACTTTACGCCTTTTTATGGCTGAAGGATATTCCATTGTATGGACGTACCACATGTTTATTCATTTGTCAGCTGATGGACCTTTCAGCTGTTCCCATTTGGGGGCTTTTATGAAGAATGCTGCTATTAACGTTCCAAGTTTTTGTGTGGACTTGTGTTTTTATGTCTCTTCGATATATTCTTAGGAGTGGAATTGTGGGTCTTATGGTAATGCTCTGTTGAGCCTTTTGAGGAACTGCCAGACTTTCCAAAGTGACAGCGCCATTTATATTCCCCCAGCAGCGTATGTGGATTCTGATCTTTCTACACCCTCCCCAACACTTGCCTTTCTTTTTGATCCTAGCCATCAGTGCGCGTAAAGTAGTATCTTCTTGTGGTTTTGGTTACGATTGAGTTTTAAGAGTTCTTTGTATATTCTAGGTAGGAGTCCTTGGTCAGAAGTCCAGCTATCAGTTTTCACTTACGGATTGGTTTTTGGCACCCTAAGAGCTCTTTGCTTCAGCTTTGTGTTTTTTGGTGTATGGGAGGACGCTCAATTAACTGAGCCCTACCAGCCAGGGCTTTTTAGCTTTGCTTTTGTACTGACCAGCAGCTTGCGTTTGAAGAGAAAGTCCTCATTAACCAGCCCCCCACATCCAGGTCTGTGAGCGAGCCCCAGTCCTTCCTCCAGGCAAGGACAGAGCCACTGGATGGCGATTGTGGTGGGGGACAGGGAGAAAGAGAAAAAGGGACCGGTAACTGCACAACCACGTTCCTTCCTTTGGCACCAAGAAGTCTCTTTCTAACTCTTGCCCCTGGCCTGTTTGTCTTCCAGACCCTGGAGGAGGAGCTGTTTGGGAACAACGAGGAGAGCCCAGCTTTCAGGGAGTTCTTGGACCTGCTGGGGGACACCATCACCCTACAGGACTTCAAAGGGTAGGTGCCAGCCATGCGATGGCTCCAGCCCCACGGATGAGGACCTGGCGGAAGGGCAAGGGGCGACTGCTGAGTTTCAGGGAGGGCATGTGAGACTTAAAAACATACACAAGAGCCCAGCTGGTGTGGCTCAGTGGTTGAGCGTCGACCTATGAACCAGGAGGTCACAGTTTGATTCCCGGTCGGGGTACATGCCCGGGTTGCGGGCTTGATGCAGGAGGCAGCTGATCAATGATTCTCTCTCATCACTGATGTTTCTATCTCTCCCTCTCTCTTGCTCTCTGAAATCAATAAAAATATATAATTCCCCCCCCCCCCCCACACACACACAGGAAACACGGGGTTGTTTTTCAGCGAATGATCGACACTCCAAGGGGACAGGAGCCCAGGGGATAATCAAGGACGCAGGTTATCTGAAAGGCGTTGACACCGGCCTAGGACGCATGATGAAGCTACTCCCGCTCAGATGCGCCTTCCTAATTACATTTGGCTCAGACCGAGAGCTTAATGAATCCACCTTCCTATCACTCACCTGCCAGCATTCAGGGAAGCGGGCCCTGTGCTGTTTGGGGGAAATGATCCATTTTAGATCATACACAGGAAGAATGGCTAACTAAGAGTTGGTAGAAAAACAGTAGCCCACACCCCTAGCCCCCTCCCCCTGGCAGGAATCTATGCCACCGTCCGTGGTTCTCCAAGTGGACAGAAAGCATATGGGAGCTATTGCTTGGAAAACTCTGGCCTTTGGTTTTCCTTGGCAAAGGCCACCTTTGGGAGGGACCTTCATACCTGGTGGGACTGTGCCGTGCGTCACGGCCGGCAGTGGCAGCCCCCGAATCCCCCGCTCCAGCAGCCACGTTAATAGGATCTCCCAACGCGTGTGAGAACTCCCAGGCCTGTCAGGCAGTAGGTGTTCTGGAATCCCTAGGTGTTCTTCCTCTGCTTCCTTCTCTCCTCTTCCTTCCCCTTCCCCCCCTCTCCCTCCATCCTCCTTTCCTTCAAGGTAGTCACTGTCCGGCCTCAGTCTCACATGGGTTACAGTTCCGCCTCCATTGCTTGGTAGCTCTATGACTTTGGACACGTGACAACCTCTGCAAGCCTCAGTTTCCTCACCTGTGAAAGCGAGATAGACAGTGCTGACCCCACAGGTTGTTGGGGGTTAAGGCAGATCACACCACCTCCATTGACCCCAAGGTGCCATCTTTGTAAGGTGCTTCCAGATTTCACAGATCATAAAATGCGAAAGGATGTGTCTTGAATAGATGCAATAAAGTCTGTTAAAACCAGGAAGGACCCCAGAGGTCATGTCGTCCTATCCCTTTACTTTCTAAATTTACTTACTTATTTATTTCTGTTAATCCTCACCTGAGGATAGTTTTCCATTGACTTTTAGAGAGAGTGGAAGGGGAGGGAAGGAGGGAGGGAGGGAAGAGAGAGAGAGAGGGGGGGGTGAGAGAGACACATCAATTGGTTGCCTCCCGTATGTACCCCGATGGGGCCGGGGATCAAACCAGCAACCCAGGACCATGTCCTTGACCCGGAATCAATCCCGAGGTGCTCCGGTGCACAGGCCAAAGCTCTGACCACCAGGCCATGCTGGCCAAGGCCTACCCCTTTATTTTACAGAGAAAGGAAATGGGCCCAGAGAGATGAAGGGAGATGCCAAGGCCCTGGGCTGACTTAGGGGCAGAAGCAGGTCTAGAACCTGGAGTGCCTGACCCCGGCCCGCGTGCTTTCTGCCACGCCGGCCGAGCACATTTCCTGGACCGTATTGCAGAGCCTGGGGGGACTGATGTCCAGGGTCTATTTGATTTCATCTTCTTAAAGGAACCTGCATCCTCCTCTTCGTGCTGAAGAATGTGATCCGTGGCTAGCAGCCCCGTGTCCATAAAGGAAGAAGGGGCAGCTGCCAGAAGCCACCCAGTTCCTTAGCTCCTTTCCTGCCTGTGGGGAGATAGCAAGAGAGGGGCCTCCTTGGGTACCTCCAGGCTGGGTGCTGCCGTGTGGGGTCCTGTCCCCACATCGGACGCCGGCTGGCCAGAAGTCAGGCACCTGTCACCTCTTCAGGCTGACTCTGGAGGCTCCTATGGGGCTCACCACCACCCAGCAGGATGGCCGGTTTCCTGGGCTTTGGGCCGAGGACTTGGACATGGCCTTGCAGGGAGCATAGGCTGGTGTGCAGCCTTAGGGGCCACTGGCACCCAGGACAGCACTCATCTGGGATTTGTGGGTGGACGACCTCCCTTCCCACATGACTCACGTTATGGAGGGGATGCAGCCAAAGCTTGGAATTTGTCTTTGTCTTTTCAGTGTGCGTTTCTGGGCGGACACCAGGGCTCGTCTGCTCAGAAGGGCAGACCCGCCTGCTCTCCCCGCATCACCGTCTCTCAGCCAACTCTCCACGCCTCTTCACCTGCCCCATGTTTTTAGGGAAAGTTGCACCAAGTTGCCCACTAACCCCCACTCTCTCCCCCCGTGGCACTTGCCCCGTTTTTTGTGCTGACAGTTTCCGAGGAGGCCTGGACGTGACCCACGGACAGACGGGGGTGGAGTCGGTGTACACGATATTTCGGGACAGGGAGATCATGTTTCACGTCTCCACAAAGCTGCCCTTTACCGAGGGAGACGCCCAGCAGGTAACCGGGGGCGGGAGGGATCTGGGAACCTGGGGTCTATGAGGTGAGAGTCTTCTGGTCCCACCTACTGGAGGGAGTGCACCCCCTCCCCTTTCACCACCAAGAGGCCAGTCTGTCCAGTGGTGCTGTTCCCCTCACAGCCTGTTCTCTCGCACTATCTCACCACCGCGGACAGGACAGCAGGGCTGAGGGTTACCCCGCTCTGACCAGGGAGCACTGCCGCTCGGTGTGGTCAAAAGACTGTGTCCCAGTTGCTTGGGGCAGAGCTGGGAGCGGAGCCCAGGGCCCTGGTCACGTGGTGGGTGGTGAAGAGTCCCGACGGGGTCTGCAGATGTCCTTGACGCCACCTCTGTGCTTCGGGGTATGTGATTCTGGGCGAGCGGTTGATCTCGTGGCCTCATAGTTCTCATCTGTAAAATGGGGATAGCGCCATGTGTGTCTGAGTGTTGTTGTGGGGATCACACCTGGTTCTGAATGTAGGACCCAGTACGATGTCGGGCGTGCGGCAGGCTTCCTCCCTGACAGCTGTTCGCTACCCAGACCATGAGGCTTGTGCCCCACTTCCTGCCCCAGTGATGTCACTGGTTAGTGCACAAGACACCTCCCTCCCCCCAGCTTTTCTAGTCTCACAGCCTCGGCTCCCAGGGCTCGCAGCACACCTGCCGGTGGGCAGGAATTGAGCCCCTCCCTCAACCAGAGAACCTGGAGGAGACCTCGCTCCCAGGGTTTCCCTGCGCACCCTCTCTGTTGCTGCTTCTGATGCTGTGTCCCCAGGGAAGGCCTGGCTTTTTCCTTGTTGAGCCCCGAATCCAGCAGTTGATCTCTGGCTGTTGCACCCCGCCCTTTGCCTTCTCAGTCTCTTAGGAGCATAAGCAGGGAAGGTAGGCCTTTCGCCAGACGCCGACCCATCGTCTCTGAGCAGGGGATGGGGAGGGAGCACAAACGTAATTCTGTAAACAATACTCGGCTTCTATGGAAAAAAAGGAAATTGGCAAATGGGACTGTGATTTGGCTCTAAAATAACTGCTGAATGTTCCAGAAACAAATGGGACAGGATTCCTTTGTAGCCAAAGCAGGTTTTCTCTGTGTTTCGCCCCAGTCTCTGTCCCCTCACCGCCCCTCCCGCCACCCAGCCTGCGGCTGAGGGCCCTTCTCCGCCCGCGTTCAGCCTCACCAGTGTTAAGTGGGAAGTATGTCGAGACTGGCTGTTGGCAAGGACTGAATAAATATTAATTTTCTCTTCCCAAGAAACGAGATGGTGTGTGTAGAATAAGGGAGAGAATCTGTGTACAAGTGCCCAGCACTGGGCTCAGTATATAAAAATGGGCTCAGTATATAAAACGGGTGTTCATTGTGGCCATCATCTTCCAACAAGAAACTCAAAGTGAAGCTTAGGGCCTGCATGCAGTAGGTGCTTAATAAAGGAACAAATGCACAGGCAAGCACCTCGCCAGGACTTGGTGTACAGGAGGGCCTTGTCATTTGAAATCGTGCGTGTGGATAGCCCAGCATGGCTCCTGCCGCACAGCAGGTGCGTGGTGACTGAGCTCACCTGTGAAAGCACCTGGCCCAGTTTGCGGTACTGAGTCAGGGTTGGCTTTCTCTCTCCCCCATGACCTCCACGAAGCCCTGTTGCCCCTGTGTCTCTAAGCATGGTTCTGCTCCCCTCTGGTGTAGAATGATCTGCCGCCTCATCCCTGCTCACCCACACCCCCATCAATTGTCCCCCCCTACTACCCCCTCTTCCAGGAAGCCTTCTCAGATTACCCTCAGGTCTCTGACTTTGCCCTCTTCCCTGCCCCCTGCACCCCACAGTGGCAGGCATTGTGTGCAGGAGCTGATTCACCGCTTGCAGGCTGGTGGCCTTGCTCCTGTTCTCAGGGAGCTTCACCTGTGTTTGTGTTTCTCCTGGATCACTTGGGCAAAACCTGGGCCTCCACGTTGAACTCTTCCCCCCGTGTCCCGAGTGTGAGCTCTGCACACTCTAGAGTTCAGTGAGATGCCTGCTAGTCTCTACCTAACAACTTGGGCACCTTCCCCACTTTTTCCTTTTTGATGGCTTCTAAAGATGAAAATGAAAAGCTCCCTGGAGAGCGAGGTCTCCGAGTTCCAGGGTTTACGTATAAAGATAGCATAACGAGGCATTTCCTGTGTAGATCTATTCTGCTTTCAGGATGTTCCCAGCTGGCTTATAACAATGGGGTGCTTTTTGTTTAGCTCCAGAGAAAGAGACACATTGGGAATGACATTGTGGCCATCATCTTCCAAGAGGAAAACACACCGTTTGTCCCAGATATGATTGCCTCCAACTTCCTACACGCCTACATCGTGGTGCAGGCCGAGAGCCCGGGCACGGACACCCCGGCCTACAAGGTGAGGAGAACGACTCTGGGAGGGCGCGGTGGCCGAGGCGCCTCACCACACTTACGGATTCAGCGAGAATCCGAAATACCAGTTCCCCGTGGTTCCTCGACCTGGTCTCCAAGGTGCCACTCCTGGCGGTGGTGTGACTGATTTTCCACGGCTCTCAGGTTTCTGGGATTTGGGGGGCTCGACTCTTAGTGGGGAGCACCCATCCTCTGAGGTCATCTCATCCATCTGGTCCTCTCCAGGCTCAGCACCATCTAACCGAAGGGTTGAGAAGCCCGGATGCTCCTATTGGGAATCTGGTCACGCCATTGGCAGAACCAGCGGGGAGGAGGAAAACACAGAGAGGACTGCCAGGAAAGGGAGAGGAAGAGGTGGCAACAAAGAAAAGAAAGAAAAGGGGTGTTCATGGTGAGAAGGGTGGGGCGCAGGGGCCTGGGAGACCCTGGCCCCCGGTGGCCCCTCTGGTTTAGCTCTTCTGGAATAAATGGTTGATCTTAATTTGAAGACTGCCAGGGGGTGGATTATGAGTACCTGGGGTCTCAGCCCCCTAACCTAGTGGTCGGCAAACCGCGGCTAGCGAACCACATGCGGCTCTTTGGCCCCTTGAGTGTGGCTCTTCCACAAAATACCACGTGCGGGCGCGCACGTACAGTGTGAAGTTGACTTAAAACTTTAAGTAAAGTTTATTAAGTTAATTTTAGGGAACGTTGTGGAGTGAAAGATGTAGTGTCGAGGATTGAGAAAGGTATGCTGAGATGGTTTGGACATACAGAGAGGATGAACGAAAGGAGATAGACGAAACAAGTGTACAAGACGAGTGTGGATGGGAGAGTTGGAAGGGGTCGACCTCAGCGAACGTACCTCAATCAGATGGAGGACGTTTTTAGCAAAGGCCAGCTTAGGAGTACCCTAATGAAGTTAATAACGATGTACCTACCTATATAGTTTAAGTTTAAAAAGTCTGGCTCTCAAAAGAAATTTCAATCGTTGTACTGTTGATATTTGGCTCTGTTGACTAATAAGTTTGCCGACCACTGCCCTAACCAATCAGCAGTCTTTCAGAGGAGCTCAAAATCCTCATGGATGCGGGTGAGCCCACCACCTCAGCGGCCCTCACACCGCCCTCTGGTGGCTGAATCACTAACTCTCCACTCTGCCTCTCTGCCAGAAATAATCCCCGCCTCTTGGGCATCAGTTTCTCTGTGTCAGTGTTGGGGGGCATGAGACCCCAGGGAGACAGACGGAAGCAGGGTTCCTAAGTGGATGTCATATAGCCCTTGAACCCCCTGCAGATGCGTGCAGAACGTCGAGTGTACGTGCTTCTTTGCGTTTTCGCTGCGTTTCCTAGGGGGAGAGGCCGCAGCTCAGGCTCTCAGCGGACTGCCTGCTCCCCACAAGGTTAGGAGCCGCTGTTACAGGGAGAGGGAAAAGCCTGTCATGCTGATGGGAAGCTCTGAGGCCTGGAAACGTTTCCTGTGTCATAACTTAGGCCAGTGCTGGTTCTGGGGGTTTACAAAGCCCTAGCGCCTCGTAGCTGTCTGCATGATGTATCCATTTTGCTGGAAGTTTTAGGGAAAATAAAATGATGTGATATACTTGCTATATCAGTACAAAGCCAGACAGATTAAGTGCAGAATTCACATCAACTTTAAAGCCAAGTATGAGGCTTCAAAAAAACCCCACACCAACCAACAAATACACAACCAAACAAACCCCACACCTCTCTGCTGAGGAGGAGAGCCGATCTCTTTCATGCCCATGCCCATGTCCATGGCCTCCTGTCACTGAGCGGTTTCAGCCGAAAAGGTAGAGAAGCCGTGGTTTGGGCATCTCCCTGAAGGCTCACTTGCTTTGACCGAAATGGGCGAATAGCTGCTGGATTTGTTGGTGGAAGCAGATTTTATTCACTCCGTGCCTACTGTGTGCCAGGGGTGGGCACGTGCACGTGACCTTCAGAACCAGCCTTCAGGGAAGAGAGAGAAGAGCTACTGCTTGGGATCCCCAAAGAAAGGTGTGTGATGGGCGAGAGGCGGGGAGGCTCTCAGACCCGGCCAGGCAGTCCCGTGCACGTGCATGTGCTGGCTCGTCTTGTCTGCTGGGCCTCTGCTGGCCGAATGGGCCCTCTTGTGGCCGTTTGGCATTTTAAAAGTTTCTGATAGGAAGTGGAGCTCAGCTAATTGGCTTCTCCACTTTCCCAAGAGCTTAGGACAAAACAGAGAAAAGTCAGAGGTCCCCCCATCGGCACCCCACCTCCAGCTTTGATGCTAGAAGTCTTTACCAAGTCTTCCCAGCCACAGCCTGCGGTCCAGGTAGAAGCGCTTCCCTGAGAGAGGTGGTGAGAAGCAGGGAGGTAGGACCCACAGGAAGAGCCCGGCTGGCCCCGGATGTGGGACCTTGTGCTCCACCTGTCAGGAGAGCGTGGAGGTTGGAAGGCAAGATCTGTGAATGGGGCCAGGAAGGCAGGGGGCAGGGAGGGAGACCAGCCTTCCAAGGTGCTCCCCAAACCTCCGTGAACCCCAGGTGATGAGCAGACTGAGGAGGACCTGGTCAGGTGCCTCAGGGGGCCCAGGGTGGAAGGAGACCTTAGCTGACGCTTGCAGGCTTAGGGGCTCTGGAAAAGCAGGAGAGGGAGGTTTCCCTGGGCTCAGCAGTGCTTTGGGAAAGCCCCTCGGGGGAGGACAAACAATAGGAGAGGAGGGGAGGGAGGGTGGGGGCGTGCAGAAAAGGGCCCAGGCCTAGAGTCTCGGAGCCTGGGGTTCTGGTCCTCTGACTGTGACCATGGCCAGTCCCTGCTCCCTCTGGGCCTCTGATTCTGTCTGTGTGCGATGAGGAAGTTGGGCTTGACAACCTCAGAGTTCCTTCCAGCCCTGATGTGGTCGGAAGGGGCAGGGGGAAGTTGAGAAACAGGTGTGTGTGTGAGACGGATAAGAAGTGGTTTGGGGAACTGTGTGGCACCTCAGGTGCCCTTTATTAGGTGCACTTAGGAGGGAAACGGCAGCATCGCCTTGTCCAGGCCGGCCTGTGGTCGCCGACACTGAGCCGTCGGAGCAGGCGGGAACTTGGCTCCAGAGCCCGGGTGCGCGTGAAGTGTCACATGGGATTATTCTCCAGGCACAAGTTTGGTCCCCATCCTGCCAGGTTGGAAGGGAATGCCAGCCGAGCCATCATCAGGACTCCCTCCCTCCCTCCTCCTGCCTGAGCCTGGCCCCTGAAGTCTTGCACAGGTCTCAGGGGTCTTAGGTAAAGCCGATCCCTTGGAGAGGGGTCTGCGTGTGCCCCCTTCCCCTCACTGCCGTCCGTGGCTCCGGCGACCTGGGCGGTTCTCTGAGGTTTCCAGGCCCCTCGTGGGCGCGAGCCTGCGAGGTTCCCACCTCCTGGCGCATCCTTGTTCCTCACAGGCCCCGGCCTCTGTCCGCTTCCCAGCCTTGCAGAATCTCTGCTCGGCCCCCGCTGGGCGGCCTGCACGGAATTTAGAAAACAGGAAGGTGGAGCTTCTGCTTTCAGCGCAGCAACCCAACCGTCCCCAAGAGGCGGGAACAACAGAGGCCCGCGCTCTGCTGGAAAGGGGTCAGGAGAGGGAGCACAATGGGGACGGGAGAGGAATGGCCGTCACAGGAAGGGCCTGTCCCCACTTTTCTGACATGGCTGCTGCGGTGGACTTGTCTGTCTGGACACTTGGTGGATTTCAGAACATACATGAAGCCATTTGCCCAGTCAGCACAGCCCACGCAGATGCACGCCTGAGAGGGGTGTCCAGGTGGGAAGAGCAAGGGCTAGGCCTGGCCTCCGGCCTTGGCCCAGTCGGCAGCCGGTCAGGAGCCTTCCCACCACCCCCTCCCCAGGTTCTGGCTCTGGGGGTGGAATCCTTGACTTGTGCCATGGCGCATGGAGGGTGGTGGTGGGGAACTGCGTTTGGCAGCTGGAACCGGCCAGAAATCACGTCAGCAGCCCATACCCCGGTCCCTGACTGTGGTCGCTGCCGTGTGGGCCCTGCCGACAGCTTTGAACTTGGTACTGACCAGCCCTCCCCTCTCCCTTCCCCTGCGGACCCTTGGCCGGGCCTTTCCTTGGCCGGGCTCCGAGCTGCCTGCTCACCCTGGCTGGCCGACTCGCAGCATCTGCCCTACTTCACAGGCCAGCAGCTGGCGGTGGGCCAGGGCCGCGCTCACGTCAGAGCCGCCCGCCTGGGACGGGGGAGAGGGCAGATCTCCAGAGAGGCCTGCAGCCTCGTGGGCTGAGGACGGGTGAAACCAGGGCACCTGCGTGCCGAGGGGAGATGGAGGTGTGGGGCCTGTCCCAGGCCTGGGGGACCCCACACAGAACATCTGGGGGCTCTCACTCCATTAACTCGTGCCTCGCTAGGCTGGCCAGAGGTGCGCACCCACCCAGAGCCTGGTACCCCCTCTGCAGCACGCAGCACGCAGCTCACCCTGATGTCCTCCCCCCCCACTTCCCAGCCTGGGCCCCGCGCTGTTGGTTCAGGCCTCACCCCGACTGCCTGACCCTGTGGGGGGTGGTCAGGGCTTCCAGACGCTCACCCGCCCGCTGCACAGGAGCTCCCAGGAGCTCCCAGCTGCAGATTCCTGGCTCGCCTCGGCGCTGCTGATTCAGGCCTGGGGGGGGGGGGGGGAGCCCGTGCCATTGGCATTTCTAGTTTAAGCACTTGAAGTGTGGACAGGTTGGGAGCCAGGGCTGTGGTTAGAACCCCAGAGCAGGGTCTGGATTCTCTGTTCTTCTTGGTGGCTCATCCCCTGGGTGCCTTTGGGAGGGTCACTCCGTGTCTCTGGGCACCTGCTTCCTCACCAGCGAAAGAGGCTAATAATTCTCACCGTGCCTCCTCCGTGGGCTTCGCACCCCAGCCAGTGCGGCCAGGAGATGCGTCCTGAGCGCTTGCACTGCGTTAGAGGTGGGGTCCCAGGCCCTGTCCCCTCCTCGTGCCAGGCTCACGTCTGGCCTCCAGCGGTGCAGACGAGCATGTGATGGTGCCATGCCATCCAGCCCACTCCTAGGAGCTCTGCCACGCTGGCCATGGCTCCCAGGGGCAAGGGGAGGAGGGGGCGAGATCTGCCGAGGGAAGTGGGGCTGCCTGGGGCCCGGGCACGGCACATGGATCTTCCCTCCTGGCTCACACCGAGGCTCTGTTTCAGGTCTCAGTCACCGCGCGGGAAGACGTGCCGGCCTTTGGCCCCCCTCTGCCCAACCCCCCTGTTTTCCAGAAGGTAAGACGCTCTCCCTTCTGCTCTCTCACAGCCAAACGCCAGGTTCCCATGCCGGAGTGGCAGGGGTTGCAGTGGGGCCGAACCTGGGCGGGGACGTTAGCCGGGCCTTTATTCAGCAGGGTTGGGGGGCTTTACTTGGGGTCTCCCCCACCTCTGCTCCTGCTGCCAGCCTGGCCTAGCACAGGGTCTCGTTCAGGGAGTTTGAATTTCTGCTGAAAGAAGCGTTTTTATACCAGGAGTCTGGGGCAGAAGTCGCCTCCAGGCACGGGAATGCCACTGTGGGTGTGGAGGGATGGTTTCCCAGGACCCGGGGAGCTGGTTTCCATGTTGGCATCGTAGCAGCTGGGCTTGGCCTGGCTAGATGTGATCCAATGTCTGAAGGGACTTTTCAGGGGCGCTCCTAGACACCCCCCCACCGTTCTGCCTGCCCATGGTGAGGCTGGGAGAGTCCCAGAGCTGCTTGTCTTCCAGGGCCCCGAGTTCAGGGAGTTCCTGCTCACCAAGCTCACCAACGCAGAGAACGCCTGCTGCAAGTCGGACAAGTTCGCGAAACTGGAGGTGAGAACGAGGTTTCTGGGGTCTTCCTCCTGCCCTCCTGTTAGCCAGGCTCTGCCGGGGTCTGTTCCTGTGGGCAGTGGGGGAGAGCATCGTCTTTGCCCCTCGAAGTCGTCAGTCCTGCGTTGATACAGTAACTCTTCTTGTGGAAACTAAGTCCAAATTTCAGGTCTAGTCAGCCATTCACCAATCGTTTATTGAGCACCACTGTGTGCCAGGCTCCGTTCTGTTTCCTGGGACACGGGCATAAATGCGACTCAGTTTCTGCTCATACAGAGTTCGAAGGCTGGTGGGAGGGGCCATTACTAGAGGAAAGATACCGTTTGCCAGCACTGAGCCCTGATGGAGGCCAGTAAGGGGGCTGTGACTTAGGATAGTGACTGCCTCTGCCTGTGGGGGTCTAGGGAGTATTCAGGGAAGGCTTCTCGGAGGAGGTGGCCCTTCAGCTGCTGAATCTGGGAATCTGATGAGCCGTTTGCCGGGAGGAAAGAGTGGGGAGGGTTATTCCAGGCATAGGACAGCATGAGCAAAGAAGAATCAGGGCAGAATCAGAGCATGACTTGGTGAGGGGGTTCCAGAGGGTTTGATGTGGCCTGAGGGAAGGACTCGTGGGGGATGGGATGGTGGGGCCTCAGCTGGAGATGTAGGTTGGGTCATATCAAGAAGGGATTTGAGCTAGAGGGGGTGGGCCCTATTAAAGGACTTAGGCAGGAGAGTGATGTGTGCTTTGCATATTAGATGATTACCCTGACAGTGGTGGGGAGGGTAGATAGAAAGGGAGGAGGGCGGGAAGGGTGGCCAGTTAGAAGCTATGACAGGAGTTCAAGAGAGACGATGGCAACTTGCTTACCCCAGGCACAGGGGGAATGATTTGGGGAAGACCGATGGACTTCTGTATTAAGGGTGGGGGGAAGTGGATTGGTGGGGTGGCTCTTAGGCCTTCAGCTGGGCTCTTTGCTGACAGGCGACCACTGGGTGGTAGCTGTGCCAGGGACTGCTGATCTGGAGGTGCCTGCGCAGGCTGGGTCACCGAAAGGGCCAGTCCAGGTCTGGGTGCATGGCGCCCCCTGGAGGTTGTACGATGGCTCTGGAGGAACATCTGGATGGAGAGGAGCAGTGGACAGTGGTACCTGGATGTGGAGCTTGGGGTAGAGAGCTGGGCCAGGCCAGGAGTCAGGTAGAGCTGGCGGGGTGGAGCGGGAAGAGAGCAGAGGGCTGGGCACTGAGCTGTAGTGCCAGTTGTGACATTTGTGAGCGTGGAGCCCAGCCTGGCCTTAGCTCACACCGCCACCAAGATGCGCTTGGCCAGAACAGCAGCCCTCAGCCAGGCGGCTGGAGCCCCCTCTGCTCTCAGTGCCTGCTCCACAATCTCCCCCCTCCCTCCTCCCAGGACCGGACGAGGGCCGCCCTCTTGGACAACCTTCACGACGAGCTCCATGCCCACACACAGGCCATGCTGGGACTCGGCCCGGAAGAGGACAAGTTTGAGAACGGGGGCCACGGGGGATTCCTGGAGTCCTTCAAGGTACGGGCACAGAGCGGCTGCCGACTGCTGTGGCAGGAGGGTCGGGGCAGACAAGGGAAGAGGTCCAAGATCCACATGATCCTGACCCCAGAGCCCCAGTGCCAGCCAGATGTGGCAGGACCAGCAGGGGCACTGCAGGGGTTGGCAGAGGACGGGGCATCAGGAAGTGTGAGTGGTTGGAGCAGCCAACAGTGTCTGCTGCATCCTCACCTGCTTCCTTGACCTGGATCCTCTCTCCTCCTGGCCCGGAGTCTGACAAGTGGGGCTGGGGGGAGAGTTAGCAGGAGAGGAGCCAGTGCAAACCAAGAATACTCCTGCTTCCATCTTCCTCCTCCTGTGTTCAGGGCGCCAGGGCAGAGTGGCGGGAGCAAGGACACAGGTCTTAGCTGTCGTCAGCAGCTGGTGTGGGGTTCCGCAAGGATTTTCCCAGCTGGCAGGGCCCTCGAGGACCTGGCCAGGGCCAGTGTGTTGGAGTCAGAGGCAAGTCCCTGTGGACTTTGCAAAGGGAAGAACTTTCTAACCAGAATGAGCTGCTAAAAGAAGTAGTGAGCTCCCTGTCCCTGGGAGTATTCAAGTGGAGCTGGGACAGCCACTTCGCTGGCCTGGCATAAAGAAGATTCATTGTCACGTGCTTGCCAAGTGCTTGCCGGTCCACACAGCACTTACACCCAGCATCTGATCTGAGCTGGCTGCTACCTTGTGCGGTTGGCAGAACGGGCCTTGTTACTTCCACTCCCACACAAGGGGACAGGATGAGAGGCCACAGGACTGCTCAAAACCTTACACCCACTGCCCGGCCGGCGTGGCTCAGTGGTTGAGTGTTGACCCCTGAACCAGGAGGTCATGGTTCGATTCCTGGTCAGGAGGGCACATGCCCAGGTTGTGGGCTTGGTCCTCAGTAGGGGCCGTGCAGGAGGCAGCCTATCGATGATTCTCTCTCATCATTGATGTTTCTATCTCTCTCTCCCTCTCCCTTCCTCTCTGAAATCAATAAAAACATATTTTTTTAAAAAACACAAAAAAACCTTACACCTGCTCAGAGGTAGCAAAGCCTTGTTTCAAACCCGGGTTTTCTGGTTCTTAGTCAATGTTCTGCTGATGGCCCGCGGCAGAGTGATTTATAAAGCTACCGTTTTGGGGACAGTGTGTGGAGTTGGGGTTGGACCTGCCTGTATTAGAATCCCAGCTCTGTGATCCTGGGCACAGTCTTTCAAGTCTCTGAGCTACATGAACAACACAGGGATGGCCAGCGGGACCCGTGTCTTGGCACTGTTGGGGAATTCATGGAAGTAGTCCGAAGGGGTCGCATGGCCCGGAATACAGTCAGTGCCTGGTGGACGTGTGAGCTGTTAGCATTGCCCTGTAAAGTGAAAGCTTAACACCCATCATCCCTCTAAACCAGTGGTTCTCAACCTTCCTCATGCCGCGACCGCTTAATACAGTGCCTCATGTTGTGGGGACCCCCAATTTCATCGTTACAAATTGAACATAATTAAAGCATAGTGATTAATCACAAAAACAATATGTAAAGATATGTGTGTTTTCCGATGGTCTTAGGCGACCCCTGTGAAAGGGTCGTTCGACCCCCCAAGGGGTTGCGACCCACAGGTTGAGAACCGCTGCTCTAAACTCTCACAGCTGCTCCCTATGCCCTGTGCAAGGCTGGGGCTATGGGTAGAATCACTGATACCCAATTTTAATAATTAGGAGTGTAGTTTTGCATGTGAGGAGACGGAATAACTTGTCCCAAGTCATCCAACAGATTCGGGAATGGAAGCTGTGTCTGGCAGATTCCGAAGCGTGTGTTCCCAGGTGCCACATGACACCGCCTCTGGGTCCCAACTCAATTAAGATTCCACCCACCAGCCTGGCCCGGGCAAGCCTGGGGTCGGCCCCCCTGCCAGGCAGCAGCATGAGCGCAGGGTAGGGCCTGCTGGCCCCAAGGGCCAGCTGCCGAGATTCCTCCCGCGGGCGCGGGCAGGAGCCGACTGCGTGTCCGGGCTGGTGGGAGATTCCTGGGACATCTGTCTCAGCCCTGATGGACAGTGGCGGCCAGGGTGAAACAGGAGGAGCTGAGATCCAGAGGAAAGGGGTGGGTAGAAGAGGGATGGGGGAGGGAAGAGGGAGCCAGGGCAGCTAGCCCGGCAGAGGGAGGGGTGAATGGGAGACCAGGGAACTAGGAACACCTCTGTGGTCTCCGCCCCACATCCCAGCAAGGGTATCAGATGCTCCCGGCTTCCGTGGCAGATGTCCTTATCCATGACTCGAGCTGTTGTTGGCTGCAGACATCTAGTGACTTGTTGCTTTCAGTTTTGCAGGTTTCTCTCTGTCTCTTGGAGTTTACAATAGTTTTTTCAGTTTTCAAATATTTCTCTAACCTGGGAACTCCTGCAGGCTGTGCACACCGGGCCCACGGTGCCCAGTGGATAAAATGGCCCGGCCTCGACCTCAGGTTGCGGGTCTAAAAGACAGTGACCCGAGGCCATTTCCCAGTCCCCTGCCTCTGGGCCGACTCCAGCGGCCTGCCTACCGGGGTTTCCAGAAAGGGAGATGCTCCAGGCCTTGACCATTCCTTGTCTCTGATCCAGAAATCCAGGGAAGTTTTCTTTTTAACCCTAAATCCTCCCAACTGTAGGCTGAAGACAGTCCCTCCTACCTTCTGCTTCCGCCCGTGTCTGAGGGGCAATGTGGGGTGGGGGGGGGGGGGGCGTCACGGTCAGTCGCGCAGAGCAAACCTTCTGAGCTCTGCTGGATAGGAGTAGCTTTGTGTCCTCCTCCCGCCGGGACCAGCTCTTTGCCCTGCGAGTTCCATCGTTGCCTTCGGTGGGTGTCCCCGGCTGTGGTCTGCCCCAGCCCAGGAAACTGTCTTTAGTTTCGCTGTTTCTTCCCAGGCACCTTGGACGGTGCTGTGGTGTCAGAATTATCGGCGTTCCATCTGGACCGCCATGAAGTCCTTCTTGCAAGGAGAGGTGCGTGAAATGATTCCAGGAAGAGAAGTTGCAGGTCCTCTCTCCTTCCTGTCACAGTTCTCGTCCCACAGATGCACAGAAACATAATGGAGAAGTCCCAGGGCTCACAGCGACCCCAGCCACCCATCCCGGCCTCTGTGGCTGTTCCCCCTCCCCTACAGCCCAGGGCCCTTTGTCCCTCTACCTAGAACAGCGGTTCTCAACCTGTGGGTCGCGACCCCTTTGGGGGTCGAACGACCCTTTCACAGGGGTCGCCTAAGACCATCGGAAAACACACATATAATTACATATTGCTTTTGTGATGAATCACTATGCTTTAATTATGTTCAATTTGTAACAATGAAATTGGGGGTCACCACAACATGAGGAACTGTATTAAAGGGTCGCGGCATTAGGAAGGTTGAGAACCGCTGTCCTAGAAGCAGACCCGTTGCTGCCCCAGGCTGTGCTCCGGGCTCCTCACACCACTTAGAGTAGCTCTTCTCTTCTTCACGTCTGTCCATCTGGCTTCCGTTCATGGGCGGTCGGTTTAGTGTTTCTTCCATGAGAAACAGAACAGTGGGTTCATGGACGCCTGGACCTGCTTCGGAGGAGCCTGGGGATATTCTCAGGATTCCTCCAGTTCTACAGACACTGACACATTTTGCATTTTTACTTAGCGGATGACATAAACAAATGTATTTCCAGTTGAGATTAAACTTTTGCAGCGAGACTCACAACCGAAAGACAGGAGTAAGTAGGCAGGGGCCAGTGCAGCCAGGGGCCACCGGTGCTGGGCGTCTGTGGACATAGTCTTGCAAGAATAGTTTTATTTAAAAAACATATATATTAGTTATTGTTGACATTGTTACAGATGTCCCGCATTCCTCCCCCCCATCGCCCTCCTCTACCCAGAATAGTTTTCTTTTTCAAGGAGCTGTGTGTTACTCACCTTTGAAAAATATTGATCTCTAAACTGTTGTCCTCAAATGCCGTGCTCAGCCACTGCCCGCTGTTGAAGTTTCTGTTGGTCCCTAATAAAATGGACAGGAAAAGGGGTGCTCCTTGATGTATCAACATATGTACACAAAGCCCGTGTGAGCCACATTTTGAGAAACCCTGAGCTAGCCCAACCCCCGATGACCTCATCATGCAGAAGCGGGCATAGAGGGCCGGAGGAGAAGGTCACCACCAGCCCCAGAGCTGGGAGCGGGAGTGTTGGGTGAATTTCTCCCAGCCTCTGAGGGGCTGGCAGCCGATGCCCTGGTCTGCTCTGACCCCTAGTGGCCGGAGCGCCACTCTGCAGGTAGCTCCCGCAAAGTGCCCGCAGGCTGGGGACGCTCATGGATTGGAGCCCTGGTCCGTCTGAAAGGAGACGCGGAGGGATATTTCCTACTCCCGTCAGCCTTCCTCCTTTATTTGTGCTGCCCAAGGGGCAGAATACCCTGTTCCGGACCTCAGATTCTTCCGATTAGGGGGCTGTCACAGCCGGCAAGAAATTAGCATCTTTCTCTCCGTAGGCCCTGCCTCTGCTGCTTACTTGGTACAGATAAGCATGTGTCCCCCTAGTGTTACCCTTGTGCACTGGGTCCCCCAAGCTGAGTTTGTTAGATTGAAACAACTCACAAAACCCATTTGTAAAGAAGCGGGATTTGTGGTCGGCCCAGAGGAGACGCGCTCCCTCTGTGACACTAACTGGTGAGACATACGCAGACGTGAGGGAGTGACTCCATCCCTCTTTTCTCGCTCCCGCAAAGGTGTGCCGAGGGCTGGGAAACCGTGGTGACTAAGGGTGGGAGACAGAACTAGAGGTGATCAGCTCGGAGGAGAGCAGCTGAGGACAGACAGGGTTAGTTGTGTGACGTATGGAACAGACTGGTCCATGACGCCAACATCTGGAAACGGTAAGATTCCAGCTTGGTGCACAGAAGATCTTTTCAAAGGCCAGGCTGTTCATCCCTGAAGGCAGTGAGCAGCCCGTCCCCGGGCAGATGCAAGCAGAGAGGACATGAACTGTGGCCTGGATGTGCAGGGCCGAGTGGGAGAGGGGCCAGGTGGTCCCTGGAGACCTCCTGATGCCCCGGCAAAGGCTTCGTGGGCCTGTCCTCTTCTCTCCTGCCTCCCTCTTCCCACATCGCCGCCCTCTGTCCTCTTCTCCGCCCTGCACCTGATGCTTCTGACCGATTTGAAAGGCTAGTGTGTCCAGCTCTACATCAGATTGACATGTGACATACGTTAGACCATGTCACTGGGTGATTTTGTCCAAATGGAGTATCGCTGTAGGGTTTCAAGGTAGCCATCATCTCTCTTTTCCCATCTCTAAGAGTGGGGCGGGGGGGACGAGATGACCTTGAGTAAGCAGGTGTCACGCAAGGGAGTTGTCATCCATCGTGTCATCCTCGCGTGGGGACCATCACCATGCTGTACAGGGGAGGAGACTGTCTCCGAGAGGCTCACACGCCATGCTGGGAAGAACCAGGAGTCAAGCCCCGCACCTCCCTGGAGTTCCCTGCCAGCCACCGTGCCCTCAGACTCACCCCACGGACTCAGCAGCACCACGGGCCGTTGGGGAGAAGAGCCCTCCCTAATGTCAGGGAGACCGAGAGCACGTGGTTTCTAATCACCCTCAGTCCCTCAACCAGTTGGATTATATGTTCAAGCTGGGCTACTTGTTGGGATCATTTCGCCTGGAGCCCAGGGTCCTGGGTGTGGTCCTGGTTCCATCTCTTACCTTTGGTGTGACCTCGGCAGTCATTTGCGTTTCAGGACCTTTTCTCTGTGTCTGTCCTCTCTGTGTCTCAGAGCTGGAAGGATGCAGTAAGATCACGTGCGTGAAGCTCAGTGGACCAGCTGCCATCACACAGGGCTCATGACGCACACTTAGTTTTCTCTGCAGAGACCGTGAGAAAGCATCCGAACATAAGTGATTCATTGGCATGTCACAGTTGATGACGGTGGTGGTGGTGGCGGCACCAATGGAATGGAATGAGGCTGAGTTGATGGAGCACTTGAGTCATTTGGGGAAACTCTGTTTATCTAAGGACACCTCCGAGTGGCGCCACACCTCCCTGCCTTCAGTTTTCTGAGGGCACACAGTTGAATGATCTTTGGGTGGTGGAATGAATGGAAGGTGCTGGCTGTTTATCCATGTTGCAGACACTGTTGCTAAGTGACTCTTCTGTGGTCTAGAAAGAGAGAGAGTTGATGTCCCTCAAGGAGGCGTCTTCGGCTCAGACAGGCCAGGCCCGATGAATGCCGTCAGGGGTACACGGCTGGTGGGCTCCCTGCCTCGTTCAAGGGGAGCTGGCCTCCAGGGCCATCATCTTTGCAGACGGCCCTCCTTCCTGAGTCAGCTTCCTCCCCAGGATAGAAAGGCAGGCAGGGTGCGGTCCTCGGCCACTCCTGAGCTTGGTGAATTCCCGACTGTGGGGAGAGCTCCCGGGGGACCCGCGATTTGGGTTGGGGGCAGCATTCCCGCTGCTTTCTTGGGACTACCTTTCCGTAGACTCAACGCTTCAAGGGAGGGAAGGGCAGCCGTTCCACGTAGGTGGGCACATGGAGCGCGTAAGCAGACACGTGTGGCTCCGTGTGGGTGTGAACCAGGTGAGGATGGGGGCTGTGTCCCATGTTTGTCCTTCTGCATCAGTGTTCTGAAGCTGAGGTTCCGAGAACTCCCCCCCTCAGCTGACTCACGCAATGAGGAAGATCCACTGGCTCCGTGGTCGGCAAACTGCGGCTCTCGAGCCACATGCAGCTCTTTGGCCCCTTGAGTGTGGCTCTTCCACAAGATACCACGTGCGGGCGGGCGTACAGTGCGATTGAAACTTCGTGGCCCATGCGCAGAAGTCGGTTTTCGGCCTGGGCGAGTCTATTTTGAAGAAGTACTGTTGCTATTTGGCTCTGTTGACTAATGCGTTTGCCAACCACTGCACTAGCTCACTTAACCAGAAGGCCCAGGCGGCTCATGGCGCAGCGTGGTCAGTGGCAGGCAGGTTCCATCCCCTGACCCCTCTGCCCTCCCCATCTTGTCAGCTTCGCCCGTAGACTTGACCGCTCACAGCCCCATGGTGGCTGCTGCGGTCCTAGGTGCAGAGGTGTCACACCTCTTTCGGGAATCGCTGAGGAGATCTTTCCTCAAAGCCCCCAGTGACGTCCCCTCCTGTCCCCCTGGCAAGGGGATGGATGATGTGACTGAGGGTCATGATTTACTCCTCTGTCCTGTGGAGGAAGAGGGGACGTTGGGCCAGACAGTGGCTCTGCCAGCAAGGAGCATGGGGAAGTATGGCACTTGTATGTGAGAAACTAGTAATGTCTGCATCCCTGAGTCTTTGCATGTGGCTCTGAGGCCCTGGGGGCCCGGACAGCTGGTTAACACAGCGGGAACACCCAACTGGCCTGGGCCTTTTCCGTTGCCCTAATTTTAGGGATGTCTTGTTTCCCTGCTGCCTGTACACTCCTTGGAGGCAGGGGCCATGTCTCATACATCTTTGACTCCCCTCCTGCAATTCTCCCAGTTTCTGGCAGGGCTGGGCACACAGGAAGCACATGACAGATGCTCGCTATTAACAAGAAGAGTAGTCGCATTGGCTGGGTACTTAGTATGTGCCGGGTGCTCTGCTAAGAGCTTTATAGGTGTGGCCACCTGGCCGCATCATCGAGGGACTGAATGAGTGGTCAGAGGGAGTGATGTGGGGTTTGGGGGATCCCAGAGAGAAACTTCCCTTCCTAGAACTCGTGTCGTCTTCGAAGGCCTTCAGGACCAGGGAGCATCATCCACATGGCGGGTGGAAGCCTCTAGGACTTCCCATGTCAGGAAATCCTCCCTCGGGTCCAGGTGGGATCTGTCTGCCTCACTCTAACCATCCCCTTGGGTCAGGCTCCAGAGCAACGCAGGCGGCCTGCAGAGCCCTGCCGAGCAGCCTGAGAGCAGCCGGCACCTCCCAGCTCCCTCCCTGCTGTGGGCGCGGCAACCTTCATTTTAACTGTTCTCATCCTTGCATGCACTGGGGCCGGTGACTGTCCTGGCTGTCCCCTCCTGGACACTGCGCTGTGTACAGATGGGCCCTTTGTTCTTTGGTGGCCCTAAGTGGGCACAGGGCTCCACGCGGCCTGAGCAGCTCCGGGCCCTCTGAGGCCTCACGCCTGGAGTCTGAGAGTGCGTGTCCTGTGTCAGCAGCGGCACCGGCTGCGGGCTCATCGTTAGGTGCTGCGAGTCTGGGAGTGCTCTGGCCACAGTGCACCAACTGCGAACATGTTCCAAGTTGTACCAGGCACACCTTGGGGTGACAGCAGAAGGGATAGCCAGTGTTTAAATATAGAAGGACGCTTAGTTTTCTGCTGCTTGGAGCATGTCATTCCTGGTTTGCAGGTGAGGAAGCTCAGGCTCCAAGCCCCACTTTCCTTCCCCGTAACAACCTCTGTCCACCTTGCAGGGCCTCTGGGGTGCTGACCCCTCAGATTCCTCTGTCCAGTGTCCTCCCTCACCTCTGCCTGCAGAGCGCCACGTGCCCAGAGCATGTGACAGTCCTCTGCAGACTGTAGTGATTAGCATGTGGGCTGCCGAGAGAAAGAGAGAGAGCGTGTGCGCGAGTGTGTGTGCACATGTGTGCGCAGAGCCTGGAGTGTGTCTGCAGATCCCACTGAGGCAGCGGGGTCATCTGGAGGGGCCTGGCTGCAACTCTCAGGCCCCCTCACCTGCTGTCCCCACAGAGGGCCATCCGCGTGCGCAGCCACTCCATGGAGACCATGGTGACCAGCCAGAAGAAGCCGCACAGCGGGGGCCTCCCCGGCAGCCTCAGCGGGGGCATCTCCCACAACAGCGTGGAGGTCACCAAGACCACCTTCTCGGTGAGTGTCTGCAGGCTCTGGGGCCCCCCAGGCCCTGGTGGGGGGAGGGGCGTGTTCACCCAGGCCTGGGCAGGCGATCGGCAGGGCGAACCGGATGATGGGGAGGGAAACTGAGCCTCCAGCCAGGCAGCACTTGGGGCTGGCCCAGACCGGAGCCCACCTGTGGTCCTGCTCTCTGAGTTTCCTTGACACCTGGGCCTCCTCGGGACGACCCTGTGCAGTGGCCCTGGGTCCTGGGCCTGTGAGAGGGCCCTCCCTTTGTTATTCCTAATGACAGGTGGCTGCCCCTGCTTGCTGTGCACCGGGCACTGAGCTAAGTAACTCACGGTCCCTGTGACAGCTGTGTGAGGGAGGTGCTGAGTGCTCTCCATTGTACATCCGAGGAAGGGGAGGCCCAGAGAGGTTAGGCAACTTGCGGGAGGTCACCCAGCAAAGCCGAAGAACTGGGCTTTGAGTGTAGGTCGCCCAGATCCTAAGTCTTTGCTCCTAATCACTGTGTACAGTTCCAAGAAAAGAGAGCCTGGCCGGTCCGGGGGTTTGGGTCTGGCCAGCTTGCACCAGGAGCCGGCCAGGTGAGGGGGCCGGAGTCCCTCTTTTGATAAAGCAAAGTGGCTGTGGATTTGTGCATGTTGGGGTTTTCTTGTTTTTTTCTGTCATAGCAGAAAATACCCACCACGATACTGGCAATTGGTATTGTGAATGATCTTGTGTAATTCATTTGATTCACCAAATAGTGTTTTCATAGCTATTATCTTGTTCCTCCCAGAGGGTCTGTGAAGTGAGCAGGACAGGGCAGTTCTCTCCAATCTGTGGCTGAGACCGAGGCCTAGAGAATTTGTCCACTTGCCCAAGGTTGCACCGCATGGGAATGGCAAACGCTGGGGCCGGCCTGGCTTAGCGGCCTGGCGGGCTCCCATCTCCCCCTTCTCATTCTGCCGCCCTCCGTCCGTCATCCCCCACACGTGGCAGAAGCAGAGCCACATGCCTGGCAGGCTCCCTCTGCCTGTGGGTGCCTGTGGACCTCATGCTTGTCCTGCCAGGGGTTTGCTGGGTGACCTTGTCCAAATTCCCTCGCCCCTCGCCTCCTCCACATCCTCCTCGGTCAAGCGAGAGGTCGGACCAGGTCACTCCCAGGACTCTCTCAGCTTGTGGTTCTCAGTCCGTGACCCCCTCAGGCATCCTGTCCTCTCAGTATGTGGGGTTCTCCTTAGGGTGGCCCTGACCCCATGTTCCTCCAGGAATTCTGTTCTAGTGGATTGTGACCTGGGGCCGTAAGGGTTGGGCTAAGAACACAGGAAAACGGGCTGCAGGTGGCTTGAGCCGCAGGTCATACATAGCTCCTGCTCCACAGGCCCCACCCTTCCCAGCTGTCTTGTTTCTGGGGAATCTCTCCAGACCAGTTGTGGGCATGGGGGGTGGTGCACAGGCTCTTTGTAGACCAGGAAAGGGGGTGGAGGGAAGGAGACCTGGGTTTGGGGAGTGAGCGCTCATTCTGGTGGTCTCGTTGGCAGCCTCCAGTGGCGGCGGCAACTGCCAAGAACCAGTCGCGGAGCCCCATCAAGCGGCGGTCGGGGCTCTTCCCCCGTCTGCACACGGGCTCTGAAGGCCAAGGGGACAGCCGGACACGGTGGTGAGTGTCCAGCGTAGGGGTGAGCTCCCTCGGGAGGGCTGCGCGCAGCTTCAGCGTCCAGCGATGGCTTCCTTCTAACCCTGGTCCCCACGTGAGGCCCCGTGTCCCCCGTCACTCATCCAGTGCTGCGTCCACTCGGCAGCTTTGCGGTCCCTGCACCCACAGTCAGAGGGGCTCTCACAGTTCGGCCCCAGCTGGAAACGCTGCTCAGAGTTGTTTCTTTCTGTGCTTCCTCTTGCAAAGCTCACTCAGATGTCCTCTTTATGGAGGCCTTCCCTGATTCTGACACCAGAGTGTGTGGAACCTGCCTTTGGGCTTCCAGAATTTCCTCCCTCCCTCCCTCCCTCCCTCTCTTTTTTAGAATTTATTTTCATTGTTTATTACAGAGGTCCCCCATTTCTCCCGCTTTGCCCCCTCCACCCCGCTCCTACCCGCTCCCAGGCCTTCACCGCACTGCTGTCTGTGCGCCCGGACTATGCATATGTGCATATAGGTTCTCTGGTTATCTCTCCCCGCCCCTCCCCCTCCCTCTGAGATCTCTCAGTCTGTTCCATGTCGCCATGTCGGTTTGTTGGTCCATTTATTCTGTTCATTAGCTCCCACCTGTAAGTGAGATCATGTGGTAGCTGCCCCTTTCTGACTGGCTTCTTTTGCTCAGCATCGAACAAAGGGGAAAGTAAGCAGACGGGACTACATCAAACTGAAAAGCTTCTGCACAGCAGGAGAAGCCACCCACAGAATGAAGGGGGGGCCCACTGTGTGGGAGAACACATTTGCCAATGATACATCTGATAAGGGGCTAATTTCCAAAAATATGTGAAGAACTCGTACGGCTCACCAGCTCTCATATCCTACTTACCCTGTTCTTGCTAATTGTCTTTTTTTTTAAAAAAATATATTTTATTGATTTTTTTTACAGAAAGGAAGGGAGAGGGATAGAGAGTTAGAAACATCAATCAATGAGAGAGACACATCGATCAGCTGCCTCCTGCACACCCCCTACTGGGGATGTGCCCGCAACCAAGGTACATGTCCTTGACCGGAATCGAACCTGGGACCCTTGAGTCCGCAGGCCAACGCTCTATCCACTGAGCCAAACCGGTTAGGGCCCTAATTGCCTTTCTGATCCTTTAGTCAGTGAGCACACCTGGTGTTTAGTTCCGAGCAGCATCCCTCGAGTGCCGGGTGTGTGGGGCTCAGTGCTCAGACAGGAGCTTCAAAGAGGCAAACCTGCCCTCCAGGAGCTTATAGTCTCGCAAAGGAAAGGGAGGCAGGCAGGTTGACCTCCACTTGTACAAGTTGTCTTCCTGTAGCCCTGGCTGTGGCCTCAGCCACCAGGCCTGGCCATGCAGGACGAGGGGGGTGATGGAGGAGGATGGAGAGCTCTGTTTGGAAGCTGTGTGTGTGTGAGTGAGTCCTTGTGGCCCACTCATCGGGGAGACCCAGAGCTCTGAGTGGTCAGAATTGCTGGTCTTGAGCTTGGGGGAGAGGTGTGACTGGAGAAGGAGAGGTGGGAGTCACTGGGGGAGGGGGGGCGGGGAGGTGGTGCTTAAGATGAATCAATGAATACGCTCCCCCAAGGGGGTGTGGAGAATGCCTGGGGAGCACCAGCACTTAAGGGCAAGTGGAGAAAGGAGGCAGAGCCAGGGGAAAAGACAGGGAAGGAAGGGGAGCGAGGAGGAAGAGAGGAGGGGAGGGAGGGCCCTCAGAAGCCAGGGCAGGAGGCACTGCAGGAGGGAGGTCTGCAGTGGCAGCCGAGCAGGGAAGTCTAGCACAGGGGCCCCAACCCCTGCTGGGTGGACACTTAGGAGGTCCCTGGTGGCCTCGTTAGAAGTACACCGGGTCACTTGCTGCCTCCAGGATGGTTATGATAAGAAAGGCAAGAAGGATGTGTTGGCAAGGATGTAGAGAGATTGGAACCAAGCATGTAGAGAGATTGGAACCCTCGTGCATTGCTGCTGGGACTGTGAACCGGTGAGGCTGCTTTAGCAAACAGCCTGGCAGCTCCTCAGAGGGTTAACCGTGGCGTTGCCATAGGCCCAGCAGTTCCACGCCAGGTGCGTGCCCGAGGGAAAGAACACACGTGTCTGCATAAGCACCGGCACACGGATGTCCGTGGCAGCGTTGTCATAGTAGCCCCCAGTGGAAACGGTCCACGTGCCCATCCAAAAAGTGGAGCATTATCTTGAAGTAAAAAGGAGTGAGGTGCTGAGGGACACAGGCTACAACATGGACGAGCCTTTAAAACACTAGCCACTCACAAAAGAAGCCATTCACAAAAAGACCAACCGTATTGTATGGCTCCATTCATAGGAAATGTCCAGAAGAGGCAAATGCATAGGGACAGGAAGTAGATTCTGTCAGGGGCCAGGGGCAGGGAGGAATGCGAGTGGTTGTGAGTGGGTCTGGGGTTTCTTTGAGGGGAGTAGGAATGTTCTAAAATTAGATGGCGGTCATGGTCGTGAATATACTAAAAACCACTGAATTGCACAGTTTAAATGAGTGCGGTGAATGTGGATTGTATCCCCATGAAGCTGCCACAAAAATAAAAGTACATTAGGGACAGGGCCCCAACAGTGGGCACCGAGCAGCTAATGGGCAGCGTTTGTTAAACTCCAGAAGGAAACCCTCGGCCCTGGCTGCGAGTAGCCTATTTACCCAGAAGCCCTTCCCAGCACTCAGCAGACGCGCCGGGGAGCGCATTTTGTAGCCTGTGTGAAGGGTGTCCCCTGGCGTTCTGCAGCCCTGGCCCCGCCGGCGCCCCCAGGGGTGTGTGTGGCTGGCTGTGATGGTGGATGTCCCAGCCCTCACTCCATCCCCTCTGTGGCCCGCCCTTGACCTAGAGCTCTGCCAGCTGGGATGGGGGGCATCAAGCTGGGACTCCTCTGGACTCCCACCCAGGAGCCTGCAGGGGACCCTGGCAAAGCAGAAAACCCTATTGTCTGATGGGGGCAGGGGTGGGATAGATGTCCTGGTGGCCGTGCTCTGTCGGGGATGCTGTGACCCCACAGGCCCCCATGGTGCAGTCTCGGGCCTGGGGGTGAGGTGGGGGTTGGGAACCGGCTCACCCGTCTTCATCCTCATCTCCCCAGCGACAGTTCATCCAGCAACCCCAAGACTGTGGACGGCGGGCACTCTTCTCAGGAGATCAAGTCTGAGACCTCGTCCAACCCCAGCTCTCCGGAGATCTGCCCCAGCAAGGAGAAGTAAGAGTGAGGGTGGGGAGGCGGCTTCAGCCCCGCGGGCCCTGGAATAGGTCTCTGCTCCGGCATCTCCTGCTTTGGGGTCTCCGTGGAACGCACAAGCCGGCAGGCAGGGCCACGGGGAGCCACTCAGTCTGTGCGGGGCCTGCCCTGCCCTCGGCCCCCGCGTGTGACCAGGGCCGCCTTCCCGCCCCTGCAGGCCCTTCATGAAGTTGAAGGAGAACGGCCGGGCCAACATCTCCCGCTCCTCCTCCAGCACCAGCAGCTTCAGCAGCACGGCCGGGGAGGGCGAGGCCATGGAGGAGTGTGACAGTGGGGTAGGTGCGGCCTGGCCAACCTGGGCCCACCGCTCTGGGTGTTAAAATAGCTCCTGTGGGCAGAGCCCCCTCCCGGCTCCGGGGAGAGCGGGGAGTATGGAAACAAGAGGTGGCACCCCCAGCCGTCTCCACCCTCTGGGAGCGGTGGTTCGGGGTCTCCCTGGGGCGACAGAGGAGCAGCGGGAGCAGAGGGTCAGAGGTCAGGCTGAGCGTGTCCCTGCCATGGGGCTCCTGGCTGGAGAGGAGAGGGCTCAGCGCTGCAAGGGTGTGGTCAGGGGCACTGCCTGGGGGTGGAGGGGAGCCAGGGCCGGAGGCAGCAGGAGGAAAGAACCTGTCCCAGCGGGCAGTGGGAGGCAGGGGCCGCCCGGGTCAGCTGAGGGTGGGCCCGCCTCGCTCACCCGGCCTCTCTCCCCAGAGCAGCCAGCCGTCCACAACCTCGCCCTTCAAGCAGGAGGTGTTTGTCTACAGCCCGTCCCCAAGCAGCGAGAGCCCCAGCCTGGGGGCAGCCACCACCCCCATCATCATGAGCCGGAGTCCGACAGGTCGGTGTGCACCATGCGGCCAGAACAGGGCTGTGCCCTGAGCACTGTTTGTGGGGCGCCAGCCCCAGGCGTCCGGAACTGGCCAGTCTCGGTCCAACCCCAGTGTGAGGCCTTGAGCTCTGCTCCCTCACTGCGTCTGCTCATCAGCCTCCAGGGCCTGTTCTTGCCCTCTCGTTACTCACGGGAGCAGAGTTCAGAGAGAAGTTGGGACTGTGTGAGTCGAAAGCCGAGGTTCTTTCCACAGACCTCTCACTCCTCCCCATCACCGACTCGGCCCCCCATCACAGCAATGGTCCTCCAAATGCAAGGGTACCAGGTGGGATAGCATTGCAGGTGGAGGGGACAGCACATGAAAGGCCTGCAGGGAACTGAGAGGCTGTGATCTGGAACTACACGTGGGTCAGTGGGGCTGGAGTTCACAACGGTGTCGGGGGACAGGTGAGAGAGGAGACAGTGTTAGGGGCCAGGGCCAGGGTGATGGGGGACAGGTGAAAGAGGAAACAGTGTTAGGGGACAGGTGAGAGAGGAGACAGTGTTAGGGCACAGGGCCAGGGTGACAGGGGACAGGTGAGAAAGGAGACAGTGTTAGGGGCCATGGCCAGAGTGACGGGGGACAGGTAAGAGAGGAGACAATGTTAGGGGCCAGGGCCAGGGTGACGGGACAGGTGAGAGAGGAAACAGTGTTAGGGGCCAGGGCCAGGGTGACGGGACAGGTGAGAGAGGAAACAGCGTTAGGGGCCAGGGCCAGGGTGACGGCACAGGTGAGAGAGGAAACAGTGTTAGGGGCCAGGGCCAGGGTGACGGGACAGGTGAGAGAGGAGACAGCGTTGGGGGCCAGGGCCAGGGCTGCCCCTGGTGAGGATTTGGGCTTCATCCCACAGGCAGTGGAAGCCATGGGAAGGTCTTAAGTCTTTGAAGGTTCTTAAGTAGAGAAGCGCCATCTGGGGTTGAGAAAGACCATTTTGTGGCTGCAGCTGGCCTAGGAGGAAGGATTGGTGGGAGCAGGTGCAGGGGGAAGATCAGCGAGGGTCACAGTGAGTGGTGAGGGGTGATGGGCCATGGAGTGTGGGGTGATGGAGCATTGGATTCAAGAGATGCCAAGGAGGTAAAATCTTTGGGGCTCAGTAGTGGGGGCTTCAGGGAGAGCAAGGAGTCTGGGCCTCTTGGGGTTCTGGGATCCCTGCAGTTGGACAGAGTAGGAGGAGCTGGCTCTGGGGAGAGGGTGAAGGATTGGCACCTGAGGGGCATGTAGGTAGACGTGCCTGGTAGGCACTGATGGGGGTCTGTGGGTGCCTGGAAGTCAGAGCCTTGGTCCCACCCTCCAGGAGGACAGCACAGCGGGGTGGGGGGCAAGCACAGGACCCTGGGGCCACCACTTATGAGCTATGTGACATTGGACACGTTGCTCAGCCTTTCCATGCCTCAGATATTGGAAGAATATTTACTCAGTTTTTTGTGCTATTCATAATGCTACACATACACTTTCACATTGAGTCTATATTACTAATACATAGAGGCCCAATGCACGAATTCGTGCACGGGTAGGGTCCCTCTGGGTGGCCTGCGGGGGGCTGGGGGGTGGGGGCGAAACCTGCAGTCCAGCGCCTCCTGCAGCTCCTACCTGCCGCTCCCACTCATCCCAGGCCTACTGTGCCTGCTGCGGGCTCGCGCCCAGTCAGTCCCGATCAGGAGAGGCTGCCACAGCAGCGCTTGCCAGCCATGAGCCCTGCATCTGGTGCCCTCCCAAGGGGAGGATCTGGCTGAAACCAGGTCTCCGACATCCCCCGAGGGGGGTCCCAGATTGCAAGAGGGCACAGGCCAAGCTGAGGGACCCCATTGGTGCACGATCGGGCCAGAGAGGGACCACGGGAGGGCTCCAGGGCATGTCCGGCCTATCTCGCTCAGCCCTGATCAGCTGGACCCCAGCAGCAAGCTAACCTACGCGTCAGAGCATCTGCCCCCTGGTGGTCAGTGCATGTCATAGCGACTGGTCAACCAGTTGACTGTCTGCCCCTTGGTGGTCAGTGCACATCATAGCAAGTGGTTGAGCAGCCTTAGCATATCAGTAGCATATTATACTTTGGTTGTTCTGCCGTTTGGTTTATTTGCATATTACCCTTTTATTATATAGGATTCTCTCTATTAGTTTCTGAAGTCTCAACAACAAAACAGCAAATCAAATTGATTTGTAGCATTTGCTGATCTCAAGCCACCAGTGTGACTGGCGTAAATAATCTTAAATGAATAGGGAGTGGTAAAATGTAGTGAAATAACAAGGAAGTGATGACTTTTGAGTATTTATTACCTTTGATGAATATCACTTAATTATAAGTTTATACTTAATTTTTTTTAATCCTCACTGGAGGATATTTTTTCCACTGATTTTTTTTATTTTTCAGAGAGAGTGGAAAGGAGGGAGGAAGAGAGAGAGAGAGGGAGAGGAACATTGATGTGAGAGAAATAACATCGATTGGTTGCCTCCCACATTTGCCCCACACTAAGGCTGGGGATCAAACCTGCAACCCAGGTACATGCCCTTGACCAGGAATCACTCAGGCTGACACTCTAACCACTGCGCACACCGGCTGGGGCTAAGCTCGTGACTGTGTGTGTACAACCAGCTCACAACATTTGTAAAAATGTAAGGGTTGGCTCTTGTGAATTGGTGCATCAGCTAGACCAGTGGTCGGCAAACTGCGGCTCATGAGCCACATGTGGCTCTTTGGCCCCTTGAGTGTGGCTCTTCCACAAAATACCGACTTCTGCGCATGGGCCACGAAGTTTCAATCCCACTGTACTTGCGGGCCCACACGTGGTATTTTGTGGAAGAGCCACACTCAAGGGGCTGAAGAGCCGCATGTGGCTCGCGAGCCGCAGTTTGCTGACCACTGACCTAGAGTGTCTCGTGGAGAGGAGGCGTCCCTTCTGGCCTCCCTGCCCGGTTCCCCAGCAGCCCATGACCTCCACAGCCCCACCCTCTTCATGGGCATTCTTCTTTTTCCTAGATGCCAAAAGCAGAAATTCCCCGAGGTCAAACCTGAAATTCCGCTTTGATAAGCTCAGCCATGCGAGCTCCAGTGCGGTAAGGATCTAGGGGTGTGGGGGCGGCAGGGGGAGCCTCCCGCACCCCACAATCCAACCTCCTCCAAGCCAGCCTTCCTTCCTGGGGCACCTCACAGCGGGGGGAGGAGCCTCTGGTCCATCTGGGGGTGAGGCTGTTGGTCCCGCGTGGTGCAGGCACAGCCCGGGGGTCGCCAGCCACCTCTGCCCCAGGTGCTATGTTAGAGCCACGCCCTCGGACACACACAGATGCGAGGTGTGAATGGTTGGCTCCCGGGGCCTCGGGCCCCTTCCGAGCTCACTGGAGAGTTGAGAGCTGGGCGCACAGAAGGTGCAGTCGGTAGGGGTTGTGCTGTCTAGTTTTATAAAACTCTCGCCTGATTTTTCTTGAAACAGGGTCACTAATGCGAGAGAGGAGTCCTTCGCCTGTCAAAGGTGGGTCAAGTGTTTGTCCTGCTGTGGCCACGGGGCCTGATAGCCCAACACTGTCCCGAGACCGAGGGCTGGGGAGGGCCGTCGCCTCTTCTGAAGCCTCTGTGATGGGGCCCAGGATGGGAGGAAGGCGGCGGCTGAGGTGTGGAGGGGAAGGGTTGTTTGGATCTGGGCCGGACTCACCGAGTTGGTCTCCTTGCCCCAGAGGAGCCTGGCTGGGGCTGCAGCCCAGAGCTGCTTCCTCTCCTGGAGGGAGAGGCCTCCGTTTGCCCCTGCCTTTCTGCCATCAGCGGCCTTTCCCAGGGCTCTGGGCTGAGCTGTCCTCCCCGAGCGTCCAGAGATGCCTCAGCACCCTGAACTGCGCAGGTGCCCCGAGGGAGGACCCTGCTGGCAGCCACAGCCGGCCGGGGGCGGGCAGGAGTGTGTGGTTTTCAGCAGATCGGGCCTGGGCCCAGCTCCCCCCAAGGCCCCTCTGGCTTCCCCTTGGCTACGGGGCTGTAGGGCTGAGAGTCACAGTTGGAACCAAGGGGAGGGGCAGAGCTGAGCCCCTTTAAACAAACCTGATCTGTAGGAAAGCAGGTGAGCTGGGGGTGTCGGCACGCTCAGCTCCCATCCTGCACTGCAGACCCTGTTCACCAGGTTCTTGCTGTGCCCACCTGCTCGCCTGTCTGACGCCGGGCACCCTGTGTGGGCCCCTCCTGTCCGCGCATATCCATGGGCTGTGGCTCTGGACACACGTGTCTGCCCTTCCTCCCTTCACCCAGTGTTTGATCGCCTCCTCCCTTCTTGTCTCCTCCAGGGAAGCCCCGATTCTGTCTTGGAGAAGGCTCCTATCCTAGCAGTTTGGGGGTGCCATTCACTACTCTGACCGTCACCGGCCTGTTGCTCCATCGGCCACCTGCCCACCAGACCAGCTATCTGTCCCAGTGCCCCGACCGGCACAGCCCTGCCCTCTCCTTTGCCAAGACACCCTGCTAGCCCCTCCCCATCTCTGGACAAGGCCTCATTCCTCCAGGCTCCCCTGCTCCTGACCCCCCATGTGCTATGTGTCTGGGTCATTTGTTACCTTGTTTTTGTCTGCAGCAGCCAGCGTTGGGTGAGCAGGGATCTGGGTACTGGGGACTCAGAGAGCCGAGAGGCAGAGCCTGGTGGGGCGGGGGTGGGGGGGGGGGAACAGAGGCCCAGAGGGGACTGCGCCTGGGGAGGGGCAGCGCCAGGTCCTGGCAGGCAGGCATTTTGTGCTGCTGGAGGGAGCACTTTTCCAGGAGCCGAATCTGTAGCTCGTGGAAGATGTCCTGGTGGAAGTCGGCTCTGTCGCTCCCAACATCTGTTTGCTTCTGTGCTAGGAGCTTCTTCCCCATCTGCTGCCAGCTGCCAGGGCCTTTGTCCCTACTGCCCGGGCATGGCCGGGTGAAGCTGCGATAGGGCTGGGCATGTGGGAGTGGGCGCCACACTCTTCCTCGCGGCCTCATTCACACAGACTCCTTGTGTGGTTGCTGTGGGCGAGGCCGGAGCCAGTCTCTCTCTTTGAGCAGATGCTTTTCCCACGAAAGGGTGGGCGCCAGGAGAGGAGGAGCTGGGAGGGAGCGAGGCAGTGAACGCCTGGGCCTTGGCTGGAGACCCTGAGACCCAGGCCAGGATCCCTGTCCTGCTGGTGGCGGAGGCTCGTAGGTTTGTGGGGAGTCGCTGCAACCCACCTCTTGGTGAGAGCGGGGAGGTGAGGTGGGAGGACTCAGGTGTGGTCAGGCCTTGGTCTGGGTGGAGAGCTCAGGTGAGGGGAAGGGGTGGCCTCCTTCTGCGTTTATGTTCTGGCATCTGTGGGAGGCCCAGTGCTGCCTGGGGGCTGTGCCCTTTGGCTCTGTCGGGCTCGATCCCCCCCCTTTTGCGCCCCTCCCCCAGTCTCCTCTTCCCCTTTCCTGCTGTGGGGCTACAGGCAGCTGTCACATCGGTGGGATTCCTGCAGCCTGGGCCCCAGCTGGTGCAATTGAGACACCTTCTACCAGGGCCCCTCAGCCAGAGCCACCTCCCCGGGGAAGAGCCGGTGCCATACTCTTCCTCGCGGCTCTCTGTGTGCAGCCCCCTCCTGGCTGCTCACCACCCCCGAGTCTTCGGGTGGTTTCTGGGTGTCCTCCAGGTAAACCGGAGTCTGAAGAGCAGACCCTGGAGGTGCTGCGGTTTCAGGTGCACCTGGGCCCTCGGTGACACGGGCTGCCGGGTTCTCACGGGCGGATGACAAGGTTTCCAACCCGACGCTCTGTCTGCAGCAGGTCTGGGCTGATTCCCGAGTCGAGGCATAGAAACGTTACCCCAGCTGTTGTGACGTTTCCCCATTGCTGTAGCAACGAGAGCCAAACCTCGGGCCCTTGTCCCCCACTCACGTGGACCCCGGGGGATCCTGTCTGCAGGCTGATGGGCCTCTCCCCTCACACTGTCTGGGAAACGTGTTTACTTCAAGTCCTAGCCCTGTAGAATGTATTCTAGTTAGAAGGTCAACACATATCTGGGTAGAGGGATTAAATGTTCCTGCAGCAGCACTCGCTGCTGCGACGAGGCCGGCAGGTCCTGGCAGCGTCCTGTCGGCTGGGTTCCTAAAGGAACTTGGAAGGTCGAACTGCATTTCTTTAAAAACAACCCCAGGCTTCTGGCTTGCTTCTCTGGAGAGCTGGTGTTTGCAGCTGCTGGGTGGTGGTGCTGTGTTCGTGGTCTGGGGGGTCCTCTGGGATTTCCAGGTGGTCCCCACTCTGTCCCGCTTGGGAACCTCATACCCACCTTCCCCCTCCGCCCGCCCCCCACAACCCCCTCCCTGCGGCCCCCGCCTCCCGGGAAGGACTTGTTCCTGCCTCTGAGCCCGTGGCCAGGGTGGCTGGGCGGGTCCCCGAAACCGAGAGGCACAGGTCTGCCCCAAGAATCGCAGGCCTGAGCAGTGGGCCTGCCCTCTGCTAACGGGGATGCCTGGGAAGGATCTGAAAGGTCCCTCCCTCTGTGTCTGCATCACCATCTTGGGCAAGTCCATCCTGTAGCTTCCAGAATGTACATGGCCAGGGCCGAGGGGGAGAGGAGAGGAGAAGCAGGACCCGCGGCACCGCCCCCCCCCCCCCCCGCCCTCGGGGCCACGGGGCGGGCAGCTCATGTGCCTGGACAGTCTCCTTGCATCTGCTCTGGCCTCGGATGTCTTTCCTTTTATTGCTGTGCCCGTCTTGGGGCTCATAGATGCGCGAAGCCTCCTGGGTCCTTGCGACTGGACTCGTCCCAATGGTGCTCACGCTGGTACCCCAGGGGCCCTGTGTGTGGCCCTGGACACAGGAGAAGTGTTTCCTGCTCGCGCCTCTGGCTGCGGGAACTGCCTGACTCACGGAAGAACTGCCTATCCGCTCTGTAGGCACCCAGGTGCCTCTGCTCAGATGATGCTTAAAAACGGAGGCAGGAAGAGCTTCTGAGAGGTCTCAGCTGGCGTTTCTGACACGAATGGAACGCGGTGTTTCTGGAAAAGGATTCTGTGGTTCAGCCTTGTCAGGGGCATCTTGCTGTCCACGCCTCCCGGGCTTCTTTGAGCATCTGATGCAGCCAGGCCACCGTCCAGGGGAGAAGCTCAGCCCCCGAGAGGGGCCTGACTTGCTTGAGGTCACTTCACCGGCCAGCGGCCAGTGGCAAAGCTGGGCCGAGAACACGCAGCCCGGGCCCTTTCTCGGCACCGCCTACGCGGCTGCTCAGCCAGTGGCTGCGTGTGCTGGGCCCCGAGTTGTGGAAGCCGGTGAGCTGGGGCCTGGGCACCGGCTGGGAGGTGGGAGCCGCCCAGAGTGCTGGTGGCTGTTCATCGGGAGGGATATCCTCTGGGACTTTTCAGCGAGGGCCCCGGGGCTCTGGGTGCGGCTCTGGGCCCCGAAGACGCGGCGGGAAAGAGATTTCAGTGGCTTGTTCCTCAGTGACATCGGCCCTTCAGCTCCGGCGTGTGAGGGGGGTGGAGGCCGGGGCGTAGACGCAGTGATCCGACCCTCAGCTTCCCCTTTTTAAGTTAAGGAAAGTGTAAAAGAAAACGCTTTGATTCTCCCTGATCCTTAAAGCACGGTGGCTAGTGAAAACGTAGACGCAGGGGACCAGGCCGGGCGGGAGGGAGCCTGTTTCGGTTTCTCGCCCTGATGGTTTAAGGGGCCAACGCAAACACTACCTTCTTCATTCAGTCGTGAGGCGCCAGCGGCAGGTCTGTGGTGGGGGGATGGTTGGGGTTCAGGCAGATCTTAGGGCTGCAGGTGTCTGGCAGGGACCTGGCCGCTCAGGACCCCACGGCTCCTCCCAGCCTCTGGCTACCCCTCCCTCAAGGGCGAGGGTGGGCCAGTGGGGTTTGCCCAGCCTGCCCCGCAGCCTGCCAGGGGCGGTTGGGGCATTCTCTACAAGCTCTGATACCTGTTTCATCGCGAGCCCCTTGCCCCACCCAGACCCACGGGTCCCCCCTTTTCGCTGGGCCAGGGGCCCCTGGGGAGGGAAGGAGACAGCCCCCAGCAGGGCCAAGGACGGGGAGCCCTGCCTAGGGAGGTGCTGGGGCAGCGGCTCTGCTCTGTGCCTTACCAGCCCCGGGGAGAGGGTGTTTGGTGGGAAGACTGGAACTTCAACGCTATTGTCTTTGATCTTGTGACATTTCCGCTGGGAAGGCTCAGCCCCCCGCCGCCCCGCCCCCCTCGCCGCTCCTTCCTTCGCATGTGCGCCAGCGCTCCCTGTCATGCGCGCCCCTCCCACCCGCGTGAGCGCCTCCTCCGGGCGCAGAGACCCCGGGGTGCAGCGTGGACCCGAGGACCCACGTGGTGGTGACTTCCCTTCCTTCCCTCTTCGTGGGGGGGGGGGGGGGGCGGGACTTGTGGACCCTGACTGCCTCTGTCATGTAAATAGTGTACATTTAATTTATTGCTATGGTAGCACATTGTATTTGTTAATGTATAAAACAAATTCTAAAAGGTTGACAAATGTATATTTTGTTGCTTAAATGTGTCTTTGCAGAAATTGACAATAAATAACATATTTTGTGTCCATCAGTGTTCAGACTTCTTTGCTTGCCCCCTCCCCCCCAACCCTCCCCCCCAAGTGAGCGTCGCCTTTTAGCTCACCAGAGGTTGCATACTGCCAGCCCCCCGGGCCATGTGGGGCCCGATGATGTGATACTTTAGCCTAAAAAGTGTTTTAAAATTTCCCGATGAGTTGCTGATGTTTAAAAAACTGACTACAGCCCGGCTGGCGTGGCTCAGTGCTGGGGCGTCAACCTATGAACCAGGAGGTCACCGTTTGATTCCCGGTCAGGGCGCCTGCCTGAGTTGTGGGCTCCATCCTCCGTGTGGGGCGCGCAGGAGGCAGCCAATCCATGATGTTCTCTCATCTCTCTCTCTCCCTTTCCTTTCTTCGGCGAAATCAACAAAAATATCTTTTAAAAAAACAAACAAAATACTGACTACAAAAATTTTTTGAAAACCTAGAAAATCACAGAAAGTTCCTGCGTCTGTTACAAATCCGATGTGGTGTCCAGGCCTGTGGCGTGGCAGGACTTGCTCAGAGCTCACAGAGGCCCCGGGGTGGGGCCTGTGCACCGTAGCTCCCTCTGTGACACCGGGAGCATCTCACCCTTTCCTGCTATTGCTCGGCCTGGCCCAGGCGGGCATCTGAGCCTGAGACCCTGCTCGTCACCGATTTGTCTTCAACCTGGGGTTTCCCCCTTCCGCCCACTTTCTCTCCAGAGCCCCAATGTATTTCTTCAGGGATTCTTTCATGATCAAGTGCCCCCCCTCCTATCCCCTTTGACTCCTGAATGGCCACACTCGTACACAGATACGCTTTGTTTTATAATGTTTGGATTTTTTTTGTGTGTGTGTGTTTTCTTAAGAAATCTGAAGGCAAGGAACGGGCCTTTATTTATTGGGACTTGGTTGTGTGATCTGGGGCAAATTTCTTTTTTAAAAAAAATATATTTTATTGATTTTTTACAGAGAGGAAGGGAGAAAGATAGTAAGAAACAGTGATGAGAGAGAAACATCGATCAGCTGTCTCCTTCACACCCCCTACTGGGGATGTGCCCGCAACCAAGGTACAGGCCCTTGACCGGAATCGAACCTGGGACCTTTCAGTCCGAAGGCCAATGCTCTATCCACTGAGCCAAATCGGTTAGGGCT